TCTCGCAAAGACCAAAGTGACATGTTTTTACCTACCACTTTGTTGAATCATATTTTATATTGTTCTCATAAATAGTAGAGCCAAAACTCCCAATATGAAAAACATAAGTAAAATTCAAGTTATTCCCATTTTTTAAATGAATTTGAAGTTCAAACTGTTTTCAAATCGTTTATATTGTAATGGTTTCACTTTGTCAGCCAGAATGCCTCCAACGCTGAGGGAGAAACAGAACCTTGATTACCTGAGACTCAACACTGGGCCGTCATTTAGGCTGCCGAACCCATGTACACCAAAGGAGAAAGGCTGGAGAAGTTCTCAGCTTTTTTATGTAAAGATTGTCGATTCTAAAACTGATGCAGATGGAACTGATTTGGTAAAGGTCCACTACATTGGGTTTTCCACAAAGTATGACCAGTGGGTGAAGGCATCTGCCACTGTAACAAGGTCATCCCTTATCAGCAGTGACCCAAAAGATGTTTTTCTTTTTAATGTCTTGTCCTTGGTGAAGGACAATCTCACTGTTTCCAGAGGGGTGGATTCAAAGGTTGTTATACGGTTTCCAATAGCATCTCCAGATGTGAGCACCCCACTCACTGATATTGCCCGAAATGTTTCACCAAAGTCCAGTTATGTAAGACATGAGTTCAGGTTCAATGATGTCCATGGACCAGACATCTTATTTGGAAACGATTGGTGGTACAGAATTGTTAACAAAGCAAATGATTTTGCTTATGTCAATAGGGAAACAGTTTTGTTTGGTTACTATGAGCGAAAGATGCGTGAAGAGTACACCCTGAACAATGAGCTCAAGCTTGCTCATAGAGGTTTTATGTTTTTCCTCAGATTTGTCAAGGAAAAGGGTAACAGAAATGATCTGTGTCTCTTACGGTGCATACTGAACAACTGAATGAACATGTGTCGATTTCCCTGCCCTGAAGCTGGTTGTGAATCCTAACTCAAGAAAGCATTTTTATCTACTCGCTTACATTTCACAACAGCTCGTTGAAATCTGCCCACATTTAACAAAATACATGTTTTGGACATTAACTTACTTGAGACAGATTTTAGGAACAAACATTTGATAATGTTGTAAAATAAGTTTGAAATCTTGAATTGCTATAATTTGCCTTTGAAGGAAGATTGTTTTTACTGCACAGTGTTTCAAGAAAGCTTTGAATGTATCTGTATTATATAGCTTAGGTATGAATTGGCCACCCATTGTGTCTCTGTTCTATTGTGTTACATACTGCTCAATCATGCCACTTAACAACCTGACTAGGAGATCAGGAATGACTGGCATATCAGATGTATTTAATGTAAGTGTATCAAAACTGACACTTTTTCAAGAATTTAAGAGATTAACACCGGTGAAAAACACATTTTCACCAGATATATGCAATGAAATAATAACTTTTGTTTGCAGACAAAATAAGATTGACTGCAGTACTCTTCACTATGGCAAAATGTCATCTACAATGGCTTCATATTTGAAAAAGCTTGTTTCAAAACATGATACAACCAGACGGAAGGGTGGGAAGCAGTATAAGACTCTGTTGGGGGCATGGGAGAAGGAACAATATTCCTTCAAAGTATTTGTGTCTGAACACAACATAAAAACATTAAAATCAAAATTGTTAAAAAGCATGTCTTATCTTCACAAGTACAAATCTTCTGTTAGGAAGGCCAAATCCTTACTTTTACAAAATGTAAATCTAAGGAAAAAGGTTCAATTGCTATCCACAAAATTGTTAAATGTACAACAAGGAAACTTGCTTTCAAGTGTGTCCAATAGACGCTCATTGAAATTGCATTTTCCTAATGGGGAGGTGTCCAGGTCCCAACAGTATAAAAGGAAACATATGATTGTGAGAGACTGTAAACAATCTTTAGCATTTTTAGACAGATATGAGCTTGAACCTATTTCAGTACAAACTCTGGACAGTGAAGGAAGGCAAATCCAGATATCTATGAAGGAGAACATGGTCAAAGAAACCGTTCCTCCTGAGGTGGAATTGAACAAAGTTGTTTATGTGAAAGATTCAGAAGGTATTTCAAACAAGGCTTACCATGAACTATCAATGATAGTGCCTACCCTTCCAAGATCACACAAGGTTCTTAAAAAAATCAAGGAATGCAACGAAAATGTTTTACTTCATGACACACCATATCCAAGCTTTGGGGTTCAGCAGTCTTTGAAAGAAAGACTCATTAGCTGTGTTTCACAAATTCTTGAAATGAAACATGACACCACAAACATTTTACAAACAAAACTTATTCGTGTGAAACGTACAGGTGATGGAACACAGTTTGGGAGAAGGAGAACTTTTATCAATTTTGGGTTCACAATACTAGATGATATGCTGTGTACTTCAGTAAAGGGAAACCATCTGTTAGCAGTATTTTCTGCCAAGGAAACTTATGATTGTGTTTCAACTGCTCTTTCTCAAATTATTGAAGAAGCTAAGGACTTAGAATATATTCATCTTGATGGTGTATGCTTTCAAATCAAGTTTTATCTGGGAGGGGATTTGAAATTTCTCAATATGATCTCTGGAATTGCGTCCTGTTCATGTAAACACAGTTGTCTGTGGTGTAAATGTTCGGCTTCAGACAGACACGATACTACCTTGCAGTGGTCAGTGACTGATGTCAACCATGGGGCTAGAACAAGAGAGGAGATCACTGAGTTGGCCAGAAAGAAATCACAAAATTTGAACTGTGTCCACACTCCCCTCTTTGATTTTATACCTCTCTGGAGGAGAGTACCTGACATGTTACACCTGTATCTTCGTATTTCTGATCAACTGGTGAAGCATTTGATATCAGAACTCCGGTTAATGGACAACATTGCCAGATGCACCAGTATTTACATCAGAGGCAAGTGCTCTAATGTATCAAAATTTGAAAATTTTGTTAAAGGATTGGGAGTTGATTTTCAATTCAGAAATGATAGGGAGTCTGGTAGGTTCACGTTTAGAGATTTTACTGGTCCTGAGCACAGGAAAATTGCAGATAACATAGTCTTTGCTGATTTCATTCCCCAACATTCCAAATTACAGTCGATATCTCTGTTGTGGAGTGAACTGAAACATATTTATCATCAGCTTCAAGAAGAAAGCTTTGAGGAGAGTGAAGTTTTAGCTCTTGATGAGAGATGTAAAAGGTGGGTGGCCACTTTTGGACTTGTTTACCAAAGCAAAGATGTGACGCCTTATATGCATATTTTGGCATACCACATCACAGATATGCTTAAGATACATGGTAATTTGGTGACATTCAGCCAACAAGGATTTGAAAAGTTAAATGACAATACAACTAAATGGTATTTTCGCTCTACTTCTCATAAGGGCAGGGAAGCTCTCAAACAAATCATTCTGAAACAGAATAGGCTTGAATCCCTTGAATGTTGTAAAAGAGTTGTACTGAAAGCAAAATGCTCAGTGTGTGACAAGTGTGGTCACAATAAACGGTCATGTGGCCTGAGTGACTGAGACAAATTGTAGTGGGCCATTTGTAGGAGTATATCACTACAACAGGAACTGTTTAATGCAGTATGACAGCTTAGCACTAGTGCTTCCTTGAGTGTAGATGCACTTCCTCTTCTGTCTTGTTGAGGACATACTTTGTTAAAAAAAGAATGTTATATACATTTGTGATACTTTGTCATTGTTCATCTTGAAACAAGATGAGTGATAATATTTCTGATAGGTTTTATTGGTGCAACAAGTGTAGGTACACTTTGTGATTTATTTGACCAAACCTTAGTTTATCATATCTGATAAACCTTGTTCAGGGAACTAGTTTCAGTTTAAATATGTTTCAACAAGTTTTGCAACTGAGCTCCATATGTTTTGTTAAACCGATTTCACTTTTTTTAAAAACACATTTTACTTATGGGCAAAGACTGTTTGTATCATTGTTTTGCCAGATTTGGAAAGCCCTATTATTTTGTGTGTAACGCTTTGAAGGCATCATTCTGTGTCAAGGTTATTTTTAAAGCCTATTAATGATTATGACGTGCTTAAACCTTGATAGGGTGAACGAGTTGTAGTTCTTCAGACATGTTTTGGTATCGATTAATAGCCAAATATGGACGTCTTAGCAAGGTTGTATGCACGCCAAGCTTATGTCTGTACCAGAAGATAATGTAATTTTAAAGAGACAACTCCTCAGTTCAGATGTTTCACATTCTCATGGCACTTACAAGAAGGAATATATTTTGGGATTCATTTTGCTTTTAGTTGTATCAAAATTTACCCCAAAACGTAAACTTTGAGGTGTTAGTAAAACAGCTTTTTCAAATCCAGATTTGTTTGCACCTGCTGGATGAATAACTTCTGCTGTAGTTGTATGAATCAGAAGGAAATGTTATGTTGAAGTAGCCACTGACATTACACTCAGTCTATCAAACTGTTATTGATTTTATCATTGAACCTATGAGGAAGTGTTTGAGAAATAATTAGCTTGAAAGATGTATAGCCTAAATGACTAAAGATAAGGTCTTTATATGAAAAGGCATAGGGATATCAACCGGAATCAATACATTTTGCATCAACTCCATGTATGGTGGCATTCTTTTCACTGAAATAAATGTTTACCTTACATAATAGATAAAAACTTGTCTCTTTTTTACCTCACTATGGTACAGTAGACACCCACCCACCCGCTCACTCTCACTCACTCACTCACACAGCCACTCAGCCACACACACACACCGCTGAAGATAACATTGTCTTCAAGACATAAACCTTACAACCCCCAGTGACCAAATGGAACACCCCACTTCACACGAGACTGTTTCAGGTGACATGTTTTCACTTGCGGATGTCCGACCACACTTGAACTGGCCATGCCAGTGTTTAACAACGTCATATGATGGGGCATCTTCCCCATAAGTTGCTTTCATTTCATCGAAAGTTTCTCTTGGTGTGCGACCTTTCAAATATAAAAACCTAATCACTGCTCGGTATTCTACTGGCTCAATTGTCACACCCTACTCGATCATAACACCTGTAAAAGTGGTAAGATTAATAGTTCGGTGCTGCAAATTCAGATATAAGCCATAGATACATGTATCATTACACATAGTACATAGAGACGTTCGCTTGGTACTTGCGTGAACCAATCATCAATCTCGTGTGTGCGACAGATGTTGTTAGTGACATGGTGTTATTATTGATAACACTCAAGCATTTACGTTTCATATAGGAACATGAACGGACAAAGGACTGTCACGGTCGCTGCTACAGTATTCGTTTATGTTGTCACCACGCTATTTCTTCTGGAAATACTGTCGAGCTTGGTTTATCATGACCGAAATGATTATGGCACTCGCAGGAAAAGGATCGTTAAGCAATGGGACATGTGAGTACCATGTCGCTTTATTGATTGGTCCTCATGTTGACAGATGCAATTGTATCAAAATATACTCACATGCATAAGAACAGATACTTCTGAGATTAAACGTAATATCCCGAGTGAATGTTTGTTTGTTTGTTTGTTTGTTTGTTGTTTAACGCCGCACTCAGCAATATTCCAGCTTTATGACGGCAGTCTGTAAATAATCGAGTCTGGACCAGACAATCCTGTGATTAATATCATGAGCATCGATTCACGCAATTGGGATCGATGACAGGCATCAACCAAGTCACCGAGCCTGGCCATCCGAGCCCTTTAGTCGGCACCCGAGCCCGTTAGTCGCCTCCTACGCCAAGCATAGTCGCCTTTTATGGCAAGCATGGGTTTCTGAAGACCTATTCTACCCCGGATCTTCAGGGTCCTGTATCCTTATTGGACCAGGCTTTATCTAGTAAATAGTCAAGTCTGGACCAGGCTAACCAATACATCGAGTGCACACACGGGTAAAATAATGCAGTGCTTCCAACATACACTGCATTTGCACTTAGGCACTTTCCAAGCAGATTATTATTAATATTACCATTTTCCATGTTCTGTAACAAGCAGAATCTGAAAATAAATTTTAAAATGCATGTTTCCATCTAACATTTCTTTTTTAGGCAATCCAAACCAAGACAAAAAGCAGATATTCCATACCTCAATACCAACCAGCCACTCAAGTATGACAGTGAAAAATCATACATACTTGACTCACTGTTACAAAAACTTTTGAAAACCCACGACAGACCAGGAGATGACTACTACGGTTTTAATTTGACGAGAAGTGACGAGATCTTAGTCACACGAGACGTGATAGATGAAAGATCAGATGAATGCAAAAACCGGAATTTCAACTACGCTTCTCTGCCTACACTATCAGTCGTCTCTCCATTCCACAACGAGGCTCTGACGCCATTTTTACGTCATGTTCACGCCTTGTTGGCCCGAACTCCGCCACAGCTCCTGATGGAGGTAATTCTAGTGGATGATAACAGCACCTTTTCATATCTAGGTGAAGACCTACAAGAATATTTCAGAATCTTGGATTCACGAATTCGAATAATACGTAACAAAGAGCGAAAGGGTTTGATACTTTCAAGACTGCAAGGGGAAGAAGAAGCACGTGGAGAAGTCGTGGTTTTCCTTGATGCCCATATGGAGGTTTGTAAGGGTTGGGCAGAACCACTGCTGGAGAGGATTAAGAATCGGCCAGCCAGTGTGGTCCAAGCGTACATAACTCCAATAGATGTCAATACACTGGCTCTGAAAACGGATGACAACGTCAAGTACAGGGGCGGATTTGGATGGGATATGAGGTAAAGGATAAAAACGATATAGTTTCAGTACCCTTTACTTATGTATTGTTATTCAACAGTCAACCCAATCTTCATACAACTACATGTCATTTTCATGTTTTGTTTTATTTTCTGATTGTACAGATTTATCCCTTTGCAAGTGTATATGATAGTCGCAAATAGTTATATCTTTCTTATAATGTGTAGTATTCAAAATAGTTTCTTTACTTTGAATAGGTACTAAGTATAAATTCAAGTATTATTAATGTTCTCGTCACGATATGGCTGAAATATTGCCGATGTGACTTTAATTTTAACTCAATTACCGTTTGTAATGATATAATCGTGTTGCGATTGTTGCAACGATCCGGGGGAAATGTTCTTGTTAGAAAACGAGCTGGTCTGAACCGATTGATGTTGGTTCTTCAACGAAACAAGTGGCACGACGACGATCTTTTTCGTTGTTCCAAGCAAGAATATCCACATCAGTTGTTTCTTATTAGCCAAGGTGCTTACCGTTCAGTATTAAGAAAGACGCACTGAACAACATTCACTCACCTATTTTTCTGTCAACAGGTACATGTGGTTTCCTCAGCCTTTGTATGTCAACCAGTTTCTCGAAAACGATTGGGAACCGTTCCCTACCCCGATATTACAAGGATCCTGTATCGCCGTCAGAAAGTCCTACTTTAATGCAGTCGGACGTTTCGATCCAGGCCTTCAGATCTGGGGAGGTGAACAATTCGATCTTTCCTTTAATGTCTGGATGACAGGAGGGAAAATTGAAACAGTTCCCTGTTCAAAGGTTGGGCACATATTTAAAGACAATAAGTACAGTTTTGGTTCAGAAGACAAGATATATACGATAACCAAAAATAGACTCCGCGTAGCTGAGATATGGATGGACGGGTTTAAAGACATCGTCCGATCAGCAGTGATCGGAACTCATTTTCCAGGGCGTAGCGAAGCTGACTTCAGATCCCATTTTCCATTCTTTACCGAAGCAGAATTGAAATCCATGCAGGATAGGAAAGCTTTACGAAAGAGGCACAACAGTAAGTCGTTTGCTTGGTTCTTAAAGACTCTCATGCCTGAACATAAAATACCATCGAGGGAGGATGTGAATTCAGGCGAAATAAGAAACGTAAGGACCAAACACTCGTTTTTCATCTTTGAAGACGGTTACATAGGCACAAAAGGAAATGAGGGTGGCGAGGCTATTCTTGTTCCAGACAATACTTTCGCTCTGGATAAGTATGGGAGGCTGAAATATGAAGACAGATGTGTTGGATATGGTGAGTGGAATCTTCTGGTGATCAAAGAGTGTCCATCTAAGGTTGGCGAGAAAGGATTTATGCCATGGACTTATGACAATAATCAGTTGATCACTTTCCATCAGTCAATGTATCTTTGTGCTACTCAAGCTAAATCAAGGATTCCTATCCACACAGGACAGGCAGTGGTACAGTTGCAGATGTGTGATGAACAAAACGACGATCAAAGGTGGACGTTTATGTTTACATACGGATGACTTAACACCATGAGCAATTCAAACAATGCTTCTCATCAATTTGTATTCACTTTTAAATCCTTTGCTTAAATTTTAACAGAAAACCATTGCGGATTTGAATCAGTGACTAAAAATATCCTGTCTCTAACAAAAAAAGCCCACATCCCTCGAGAGTATTAAATGTGCGTCCCTCATGCAGATACTTCGTTTGTTTGTTGTTTAACGCCGCACTCAGCAACATTCCAGTTGTATGACGGCGATCTGTCAATAATCGAGTCTGAACCAGACAATCCAGTGATCAAATGAGGATAGCTCGGGTGCCTCAGTTGTCTTAGGCGCTGCGATTCGCTGTGCAGATTTGCATCCCTTTGGGACGCCAGAAACCTATGATTGTGGGTTAAAATACCGATTCGCCCCGATTATGTTTCTAGGATTGTCAGCACCATACCCGTGCTCGTGGGTTTCACCAAAGTGGTAATCGTCTGAGACCTGCATCACTTCAGGCTTTCCTTCCACATTACGATTCCACGTCGTGACATATCTGGAATAGTGTTAAAAGCGGCATTAAACCCAACTTTCTCACTCACTCTTGAGAAACAAATCAACCTTTGAAAATTTTTACTTTTTAATTACCTGTACGTAATCAATCTTAACAAAATCTGTATTATTTCAACAAAATATAATGGCAACAAAACAAGAAACATACTGTTTTCTTTCGTTCTTTGTTGTTAAACGCCGCATTCAGCAATATTCAAGTTATATGATCGAGTCTGGACAAGACAATTCAGTGATTGAAATCATGAGTATCAATCCAGGCAACAGGGACACGATGACATGTATAAACCAAGTCAGCGAGCCCGATCACCCGGTCTCGTTAGTCGCCTCTTACCTCAAGTAAAGTCGTCTCTCAGGCCAAGCATGGGTTGCTGAAGACCAATTCTAATCCGGATCTTCACGGGTTTCTCAATTACTTACTATACTTATTTCAATACTTAACAAAATAAACAAATACATATTACATTCTCATTTCTATTTTTTTTTGTTACCCAAAATACACCTTGTACGAAAGTGTTAGTTCCATGCAGACCACGTGCCGTAAGAGTGAGTGAGTGAGTATGATTTTACGCCGCTTTTAGCAATATTCCAGCAATATCACGGCGGGGGACACCAGAAATGGGCTTCACACATTGTACCCATGACGGGAATCGAACCCGGGTCTTCGGCGTGACGAGTGAACGCTTTAACCACTGGGCTACCCGACCGCCCCGTGCCGTAATACTCGAAGCAATATGCGGCCAAGGTAATGTTTGGATGTGTTAATGCAAAGAGATCTGGAAATTGTGTGAGGATACAAGCTTAAATAGTTCCGTTAAAAAACGATTGTTGTAGTACCACAACTGTAGCGGTAAATAGTGTTTTAACTATAGTGTTTCAAATATTTTCACATTATTCAAGTACAGTAAACTACGGTTATAACGAACACGCTTATAACGAACTAATGGATAAAACGAACTAACTTTTGAGTCCCGACTATATGCTGTAGTTAAGCTGTACATATGCTTATAACGAATTACGGTTATAACGAACTAAAATTAGTGGTCCCTTTGAGTTCGTTATAACCGTAGTTTACTGTATTACCTTGAACTAAATCAAGGGTGTGTTTTATTGATGTAATACCAGAGAATGTGCTTTATGTGCATGTTGTTGTTTTACGCCGCACTCACCAATGGTCCAGCTATATGACGGCGGCCTGTAAATAATCGAGTTTTGACCAGACAATCCAGTGATTGATATCATGAGCATCGATCCACGCAATTCGGATCGATGACATGCTTCAACCAAGTCAGCGAGGCTCAATATGTAAAATAACTAAAATATTTAGGCGTTTTGTAACTTGTCTAAGTGAAATGTTCGTCATGGACTATGACTAATATATGAAAATAAAATCATGCAGTTAAATCTCAAGGATTGGGCACACCATTCAAAGTTGTGATAAACGAGCAACACCATAGAGTCATCTTTTCAGGCAATTGATTCTTAACAAACGTATGCAGCCGTTGTGGCCAGTCAGTGTCAGACGCGTTTTACCTTTGAGATATATGGAACATAGAGTCCCCTTCAGGCTAACTAAAGAATGATAAATGTGCTGTCTTTAAAACCTGCTAAAAGGTCGCGCTACCTGTAACGCATTGCACTTAAATGTATGAATTTAGAATAAAACATTAAAGCCTAACGACGAGTACTTTGCAGTGATGTATTGATACTTCGACAGTTAGTCATTATAAGGGCACCTGCTTTCCTGTGTGACCAACACATGGAACGTGTTCTTGTTTGTGCTATCAGATTGTGAGTGATTGCGATCGACCAGTCATGTCATGGAAACTTGTTACTTATAGGGTGTAAAACTCTTTTTAGATCTATTAATGAGTATCAGATGCCAGGAAATGCCAAAAGCAGAGCCGATTGTAAGATTCCCGATATCATGAGCATGTGTTTATGAATCACTATCAAATAATGACGTTCCAGGTGTTCGGAATAAGGTGAGCATAGCCTGAGACGTCGGTAGCACCCGTCACAAACACATGCAAAGGACACGAAACAGATAAAATGCAGGAGTGATTGAGTGAGTGAGTTCAAACTGATAGTCCCATCGGCAGTATGTCAGCCATATCCTGACTTGAAATGCTATATATTAATAATAACATATTAAAACCTGTCAACGATGGACAGATCAATAAGTTGAAAAATAGCACGTTTATGTTATGAACACACAATGCCATTTAGAAAAAGGTAAAATGTAACAAATGTTATATTTGGGATAACACTTTCATAGTAAATTACAGATTCTCGTACTTTTGGGGTTGAATCCCGTCCGGGATTAGAACCCACACTGCCAGAGTGAGGCACCTTATCGCCAGCACACAAAGTAAGCGATCTGAGCGAGGCCACCAAAGGCCATGGGGTACACGATACCCAAGCAGGAGGGTTTATACCATCCCTTTAGGGGAGAGTTGGAAAGCCAAAACAATTGCGGTAGCCAAAATAGGGTTGTAAAGGGCATTTATTATTGATAGCCTCTCTATAACACTCACTGGCCCAAAACTAATTTCAAACAAACGTGACCGATCTTTTCTCATATTTGTAAACAAAGCACTCCTACCAGAGCAGTCCGTGTCAATTGTCGTTATTTGTTTGTCGTTTAGCCCCACACCTAGCAATATTCCAGCTACACGGCGACGGTCTGTAAATAATCGAGGCTGGACCAGACAATTCTGTGATTGACATCATGAGCATCGAGCCACGCAATTGGGATATGATGACAACCAAGTCAGCGAGCCTGACCATCCCGTAAGTCGCCTCTTGCGACAAGAATAGTTACCTTTTACGGCAAGCATGGGTTGCTGATGACCTATTATTGTTATTTAACGCCGCTCTCAGCAATATTCCATCTGTATGACGGCGGCCTTATATAACCAGTCTGGAACAGATCAACAGTGATTGATATTGTGATCAACGATCCACGCCGTGTGGATGATGACGCGTAATCCAAGTTACGGTAGGTTTCACCGCATAACAAATGAAACAATTAGTCGAAATATGAAACTGAATACTTGTCAACTTAACGTGCCTCTGTCCATATATTGACATCTCACTAGCGATGAGGAATGAGTGAGTGAGTATTGTTTTACGACGCTTTTAGCAATATTCCAGCAATATCACACCGGGAATGCCAGCGAGGATGTTATTTCTTTTATGCATGATGTATGATAATATAACGTACTGTAGGTGTCCCCGGCGTCATATAGAAACGTTGATGATAGTGAGTGAGTGAGTTAAAATTTAACATCGCATCGGCATTATTTCAGTTATATAGCGACGAGACCAAGTTAATATATTCACAATTTATTTATTTATATATTTAAAAACAATTTATGAAACATATTTGAGCCAACTTTATTTAAAAACAATTTATGAAAAATATTTGAGCATAACAATATTATGGATACAGTCTTAAAACACGGACATTACGCCATCAGTAACCAAAGCTAGGCTGGGGATCGTGGGGACTTACAGTACCTTGGCTTCTTCCTGCATGATACCCCAGCAGGATTTACGTCATCACTTTAGCTAATGGGTGGTTGTGCACAATACTAGCCAATATTAAAAAATACTCAGCGATGAGTTGGCTTAAAAACACTGTTGAACCACATACATTCATGTATAACACAAATATTAAATTGCAAGTGATTCCACATCATTTTGTTTGGCTAACCGTGCACTTTTAGCGTCAGTGTTTCTATATACCTTAATTAACTTAGACCACGCCCACTGTCGGACTACTTTCGTACTTTTGAGACATGCTCGTCATTCCCCGTGTCGAACCCGTGGCACGCAAAGGCACCGGTTCACATATATCCGGGTCTTCAACAACCCATGCTTGCAGTAAAAGGCGTTTTGCTTGGCGTAAGAGGCGACTAACTTGTCCTGCAGAAAGGGGAAATCTTTCACATGTGGATACAAGCAGCAAAATTGGCACAAATACTCTCTTGATAAAACCCGTTAGCCACTGAAACAATTCAAGATGGCGGCCACTTTCAAGATGGCCGCCATCATATCATTTTTTGCAATAAAATCACCCAGTCTTGTCCTATTTGAATTATCTTGATGTCGAATCATACATTTGTAGCCGCGTAGAAGTTGAATTCAGAACTCTGGAATCACACAGAAGCCTCCTTGTACTATATCTAAGCCATGCAATAAACAAAACTGCTTATAGATCGCTAGGTAGGCTAACATGCATGGTGGTGGAAGTGGTGGAGGTATTTGGGGTGTAGGGGTGTAGCAGTAGAGGTAGTACTTTTGTTTTAGATGCCAGCCACATCCTCTCGATGGACTTCTGACACTAGTCCTCACTGCTTACCTAACTTTTACCTATGGCTCCTAGGAGTCACGTGATATATTGTTTAATGACACAAATTATCTAGAACTCTATGGTTACACTACAAGTCACTAATGTTCGCATTTCTGTCTGACTATACACCCATTCCTTCTGATTTTTCATATGTGTGAATAAAGATATAACTTAAATCAAATTCAGTGTATGAATGACCAGATTGTTTAATACGTGTATCTAAATACGTTTGCCAGGATTATGCTAAAACTGTTCCCAATCGGACATTTTGAGACATCTCCTGAGACCTACAGTGGGTACCCGGGTAGGGACAGGTAATAGAGGGGTGGGTACCCGGGTAGTAAATGTGGACTCGTCCCAGCCCTAGGCCAACGCGTTACAAGCAGAATGGCGCATCGTTCCGCAGGACAAGAATTCGTACACTTATCCAGTCAGTTCCGAAGAGATGCAGAGCCGTGATTACTGCCCTTGGCGGTCACACGAGATACTAAGTTCAGCGCAACCTTGTGGCCTTATGTGACATGACAATGAAAGGTTTTCATTGCCTTTGTACAACGACAACATGTGACTATCGAGCTCCACAATTCCATATTTCAAGTTACAACAAATTTACTAAAAATCTACCTGTGCGTTTCTTTTTTTGAAGAGTGTATATGGTTTCTGTCTACACTAACCCTCGGATCCATTCCCGTGGTTCTCGCGATCTCAAATTACCCGCCTTTGCTATGTATGCTCACTCAGTATTCACTCGATGAAGGTGCAAAAAAGCGAAACGTGGTTACAAAGAATAAAATAAGTTGTTTTCCATAAATAAAGAGACACGTATTCTTATGAAGAATATTGTACAAATGTATAGAATGAGTGGTGATCTCCAATAATCCCATTCCTCTGTAGTTTGTTACAGAAACTGTAACCGACAATATTAACCAAATAGACTCGCTTCAGAGAGTTCTCGAATCGCCATTCCGGGACAAGCCGAACCATTCGTGACGAATGAAGCCGAACGTCGGTTACGGAAATATACGAGTGGTGACGAATGTAGCGGAATAAACCGAGCGGATCCGAGTGTTTTTGTGAGGGAATACCGGAAGTAAACCATAGTGGGGAATCCCACGTGAGGTCAGACAGCGAGGAATATTCAACTGCATAAACTTCTGCTTACATTCCGCAACCATGGCGTCGATAGAAGAGGTGAGCTGTGTTATAGATTGATTAAAATTGTTTTATTACTCTGGATTATCTCCAGTTTATGTTGGTGCGAATTAAACCACGATGTAGAGTACAGTTTACTTTCAGTATCGAACATGCATGGTCCTGAGAATATTCTAGAGCTTGTTCATTGTGTCTATAATCAATGCTAATATTGTCATTGGAAACTTACAAATTAACGCGAAATGTTCGTAAGCCACGTGATCGAGCAGTCGGACACATTTTCTAGCCCTGATTAACACGACCACGACTGATCATCCGTATTGACTCGCGAAATAAAACGAATAGTGATTAACTGGCCATATAAACAGTTAATGAACAACTTTAGCAATAACTCACAGGCCCCTGAAGCAGGATAGTGATATAACTGAAACACTGGACCCATATATATAAATAGTCTATTTATATATATGGGTCCACTGTTTCAGTTATATCACTATACTGCTTCAGGGGCCTGTGCAATAACTATATGGGAACTGTCAGTCTCGGACATTCTTGTATATCAGACATAAGTTTAGACTAAGGTTTGTATGGAATTCGCGAAATGCAATGGGTCCGTGCCAGCATTAGAAATTTCCCAAATTGGCAGAAGTCCTATAGTAATTGCCAAACTGCCTAATAGTTCAGGTATCATAAGAACCTGTAGCAATTTGCCATTATTAAGAGTTTTGCTAGATCTATATGTTATCATCATAAGCACTAGTGGACTAAAACAGTTACTTTCTAACGCTGGGTCCCACAGTCCACACAGGACTGTACTATGGCAGGGTATGAAACTCCCAAAGATTTCAGCCAGACCACAGGACTGGCTAGCTGAAATACTTGCCAGCCCTGACCAAAACCTGCCTGCCCACTATAATCATATGTTTCTCAGGATAATTTAACTAAAAATATGAAAACTGTTTGCTTGTAGCATAAGCACATCGCTAAATGTTAGGTTGTCTAAAAGCTAATGGGGTTTCTTTTTGGTTACATTTTATCATTCATCTTTACATGTGAAATATTTAGAATATTTTCACATATGAAATATAACCCGACCGTCGGGCAGGGGGATTTGAAAATCTGGCAGCCCGAGTTGAAATCAACCCGTCTCGGACGGTCGGGCAGGCAGGTATTTCGAACGCTGAAAATGGCTGGGACAGGTAGCTCGGGTTGGGTGGTTCCTTAGTAGGATCCAGGTACCCACAGGACTACCCGGACCCGTGGTTAGTCACGTGATATATTGTTTAATGACAACAACTCACTAAAGCTCAGTGGTTACACTTCAAGACTTTTTTTTTTTTTAGCCTCAGACCTATGAGGTCTATTTCATTAAAAAGTAAGCTGTATGTATTATGTCATAAACATTGTCATGCCTTAATTTGATTTCAGACTTGCATTTATTTTCCATTAACTACATATTACTAAAGCCACTTACAGCAGAAACAGTTGCAGATCCTTATAGAACATGACAGCTTGGTTATAGTAACCATTAAATACGTTGAGAGGACATGGTAGGAATCTGCCTATATGTTGCAGCTCAAGAAGGACATCGAGGAACTGAGGAAGTTTGAGAATGATTCGACACGACCGCGCGTCCAGAAGGCACTGTCCGTGGAGATTCGTAAGATCGAGTCGATGATTTCTCTGCAAGAAAACCCTACCCCAGTCAACACAGTTGCTCCGCAGTCCAGTGTCCGACAAGAGGTCAGCATTTACACTGAGCCGATCAAAAAGTACGGTGAGTTTATGGTGTATCATGGGATGGTAGGGTAGCTTATTGGTGAAAATTGGACGCAACTCTGCATAGCAAATCATGGCGCCTTAGACGACTGGGTTGTCCGTGCCCTCGGTAAAGAAATGAAGTCAAACTGTTTTAGAAAGTTGATATTTCTGATTGGCTCGAGAACCAACGTTAGAAATTAGCACTAGTCCTGTTGTCTTTGCCAAGCTGCCCAATAGTTAAGGTATCATAAGGACTAGTCGAAATTTGTCCTTATCATTATAAGGACTAGTGGACTAAAACTGTTAGTTTCTGAGAACCCTGGCATTCTTCATTCAGACAGGGTTGTCAAAGGTCGCTCAGGGTTCACATGACACGACCACCTGTGGAGGTGGCTTCAGGTCTTCTTGCAAAGAGGTTTCAGATTAAGAGATATGATTTATGAGATTGCTTCATACATCTTTGTAATGATGAATAACACAGTCAATACTTCACACCATTAGCCGACCGCAACTGTGGTGTCTTGGATAGAGTCTCTGCCTAGAGAGCTGAAGGTCATTGGTGCGATCCCCGTCCTCATAATACCAAAAAATAATATTAAAAGATGGTACTTTTTGTTACCCTGCCTGACATTCACTTGTCAGCATGGAGTCAGTATACTGTGTTAGAGTAGGTTATCTATGTTAAAACCTGCTACAAGTCATAATTACTTCTGACTTTTATATGTTTGAGTGAAGACAAAGCTTCTAGGTTTGTCAGCACCATACCCGTGCTCATGGGTTTCACGGAAGTGGTAAACGTCTGAGACCTGCATTTCTTCGGGTTTTCCTAGTACACTTAAACTTGGACTGAAGTCCCTGGTTCCAATATGAATTTGAAAAATACTCTTAAAGAACTGAGGTGTATTGTTTTCCTCAGCTCTTGTGTGGTCAGAATGCAATACTATTGCAATAGTGTTGGCTACTATTTGAACTATGGTTGGGTTTGGTAACTCAGGTACTCGGGTCGGGTATGTACTGAGTAGGACCCGATTACCCACAGGACTACCCGGACCCGTGGTTAGTCACATGATATATTGTTTAATGACAAACACTCACAGTGGCTATACCACAGGTGGCTGATGTTCGCAATTCTTTCTGACGATGCTCACATTCCTTGGATATGTTTGGTTAAAGTTATAGCTTCAGTCAACTTCAGTGTACTCATGATCAGATCGTTTGATGCATGTATCTACATTGTAAATAGTTTTTTGCCAGGGCTGCGGTAAAACAATTCCCAATTAGACATTTTTTGCCCAACTTTTGAGACCTACAGTGGGTAGGGTTTGGAGATGGGGTGTCGGGTATCCAGGTAGTAAATTTGAACTCGTCCGAGCCCTAATTATAACACAATCACAATAGTGAAAATAGCCCCAATGGTCGACCCTAGTGACTTGTGATGTTTTCCACCGACAGCATGGGACCAGTCCGACAAGTTTATGAAGCTGTACGTAACACTGGATGGCGTACAGGGTATTCCTGCTGAGAACGTTACCTCCACCTTTACAAACAGGTAAGACACAGACCAAACCACACTCCCGCCCTCATATTAATCATGTTAATGTGAGTATTACTAAAAGTGGCGTAAAACCATACTAACTCACTCACCCTATGGCTATGTCGAACATTGGAACTTTGTAATCCCAATGATATATTGACCCAGTGTGTACATTCAGATGACCAGGGTTTGGAAATATTTTTCCGCAATTATCGTGATAACTCTTTTGAGCATGTTGAGGAACTTTACAGAGTTCAGAAAATAATACAAAAACCATTGGAAACACCCAACGGAGAACTCCTGTCTTCAAGTACATGCTTTGTGCAATGTATATCGGATTGTCTAACCCATCTGACCGTGTTGTCAGGTCAGTGAAGCTCGTCGTGAAGGGCCTCAACAAGAAGAACCATGAACTGTTCATTGCTCGGCTCTGTGAAGAGATCACCCCAGAAACCAGTTACCATAAGGTTAGTCTTAGAACTGTCCCAGGCGCCAGCTACATTTTGGTTACTCTACGTCAATGTAACCTGCTAATATGATGTTACGCCAGGTTTCTCCTGATTGCAAGACATCATCACTTCGCTGTCTGTAACCAGTTACAATATGTTTAGACATAGAACTGTCCCTGCCTCCAGTTACCATAAATGTAGACATAGAACTGTCCCTGGCAACTGTTACCTTAAGTTTAGTCTTAGAACTCTCCCTGGCACCAGTTACCATAAGTTCACTCTTAGAACTGTCCCTGGCACCAGTTACCATAAGTTTAGACTTAGAACTGTCCCTGCCTCCAGTTATCATAAGTTCACTCTTAGAACTGGCACCAGCTACATTTTGGTTACTCTAAGTCCCTGTAACTTGCTAATATGATGTAATGCCAGGTTTCTCCTGATTGCAAGACATCATCACTTTGTGACTGCCACCACACTCAGAAATGACCTGTGGAACACCTGTGGTGTTGTCGTTTCTGCTAAGTGCATAATTGTCTCTGTTTGACCTTGAATTTGCTGTCATGATTATTGGTCACATGTTGTATGTTGGCATTGTGTGGCACATGACAGCAGACTGTTGTTCATTAAACATGTCTTCAGGCAATATTGTCTTTGGCTGTTGAACACAATTTGATGTATTGCCTTTTGAAGTGGTGATCCTTAGCAAACTTGGAATAGTATATACAGTGAACTACATTTATAATGAACACCCTTATAATTAACTGACCGATATAACAAACTTATTTATTAGTCTCGGCCATTTGTTGTATATATGCTGATTACAGTCAAGTCTCGTTAATCCGACACAAATGATAGGAACCAATTAAATCAGTGCTATTTAGACCCTTTAATCCTTTAATTACGCTCCAACTCCGACACACCTAATTTGCAACCAATTGCTGAAATCACTCATTAATCCGTGTTTTCATGCGAGATGAGTCGGCGAGTAGCTGCACATTTCAACGGCTGCAGAGATAAACTTGCTTAACAATAAACTATTAATTCTTTAAATTAACAAAACAGGATTAATCACATGCCTAGATTACCTCAATCTCATTAAAATCAGATACAAGTTCTCGTTACCGCTGAGGACATCCCATTACAGGTCACGTCAGAACGACCTTTCACAAACAACCAATGAAATTACTGACAGGAAGTCGACATTAGCCACTAAGAAAGCAGCTTTCTTAAGCATTGCGGCACTAGTTTCAAATTGATGACTTCCACTCTAGACTATGCTTTAAAAAGTATTTTGAATCAGTCATACAGTCCGTAACAGTAGTTTTGTGTTAAACTTCAGGTTGCATGATTAGAAAACATATTCCGCTAACAATGTAACACAACAATATGATTATTTCCTTTTTTTATTATGTGTTTAAATCGTTATCTATCCTGTAGTTGTCCAATTTTCGATCACGAACGTTTATACTACCTAATTTCATTTATCCGACATACTCGTTAATCAAGCATAATCATATGCAACCAACAATGTCGGATTAACGGGACTTGACTATATGCTTATAACGAAGTACAGTTATTACAAACTAACATTAGTGATCTCTTTGAGTTTGTTAAAACCATAGTTGACTGTGTGTGTGTATTGTAAGATGCCTCCCCTCTGTACCAGGTGAAGACTGACTGTGTTCTGCTGATGATGAAGAAAGCCTCATCCACCACCTGGGCCTTCGTCACGGAGGCAGAGAGGAAAGCCAAAGAAACAAAAAAGTTAGTTTGACATTCACACATCTTTGTGCCAGACATGTTTCATATCTTGTGGGTTTTTTATTATTTTTGTTAATATGCCAAATTGAAGGCAGAAAAAAAACCCAACATATTGTCGGGGTTTATTCGAGATTCATATCCTCAAACCTCTGAAATAAACCTTTGAAAAACACACATTTAGAAAGACAAAAAACATGTGTGTGAGTTCATATTATCTTGAAGAATGACGGGGGTGACTTCCCACTTCAATGGAAATGGATTCTGCTGTTCACCGAGTAGTGAATGGGTACCCGGTAGTAAGAGATGGACTTATTATTATTATTATTATATTATAATATATTATCATCCTAAAAGTTGCTGTTCACACAGTGTGATGTTAGCAGTCGACATTTTGAGTCAGTGTCAGCTTACATGGCTAAGCTGTTTATGAAAATTATCGTGTTTGATTTTATTTTTTTCAAGTTTATTAGTCACCATGCACATGGTTATTGATTTGCCCAAAGTAGTAAACATTGACAGCTTTCTTCACATAAGCTTCCCCTGATACACCAAGCTATGGCCAGTCAGGTAGGCCTCTTGTTTATGTGGCTTTTCAAAGGGTGAATTTCCACAGCTCTATGTTGGAATTCAATTAGAGCATTTCAGACCTGATTTTACACTTTTATGCCCTCTTTTTTATCAAAGATGTGTAAACTCACATTAAACAAGACATAAATAGTTATATATGTATTCATTGTAATTGAATTAATTTCATTTGGAAAAAAAGTAATCTTGACTTAGGGAGGGGAAATGTTGTAAAAATGTTATGTAATGTTGGGTCGTTTCATCTGCCAACTTAGTGCTAAGATCGTTTTGTTGAACAAGATTAGGAAGCCAGTCAGTTTCATCTGCCAACTTAGTGCTAAGATCGTTTTGTGGAACAAGATTAGGAAGCCAGTCAGTTGCATGTGCCAACTTAGTGCTAAGATCGTTTTGTGGAACAAGATTAGGAAGCCAGTCAGTTGCATGTGTCAACTTAGTGCTCAGATCGTTTTGTGGAACAAGATTAGGAAGCCAGTCAGTTTCATCTGCAAACTTAGTGCTAAGATCGTTTTGTAGAACAAGATTAGGAAGCCAGTCAGTTTCATCTGCCAACTTAGTGCTAAGATCGTTTTGTGGAACAAGATTATGAAGCCTGTCAGTTTCATGTGCCAACTTAGTGCTAAGATTGTTTTGTGGAACAAGATTAGGAGCGTTGCAGTTTCATGTGCCAACTTAGTGCTAAGATCGTTTTGTGGAACAAGATTAGGAAGCCAGTCAGTTGCATGTGCCAACTTAGTGCTAAGATCGTTTTGTGGAACAAGATTAGGAAGCCTGTCAGTTTCATCTGCAAACTTAGTGCTGAGATCGTTTTGTAGAACAAGATTATGAAGCCAGTCAGTTTCATCTGCCAGCTTAGTGCTAAGATCGTTTTGTGGAACAAGATTAGGAAGCCTGTCAGTTTCATGTGCCAACTTAGTGCTAAGATTGTTTTGTGGAACAAGATTAAGAAGCCAGTCAGTTTCATCTGCCAGCTTAGTGCTAAGATTGTTTTGTGGAACAAGATTAGGAAGCCAGTCAGTTGCATGTGCCAACTTAGTGCTAAGATCGTTTTGTGGAACAAGATTAGGAAGCCTGTCAGTTTCATGTGCCAACTTAGTGCTAAGATCGTTTTGTGGAACAAGATTAGGAAGCCAGTCAGTTGCATGTGCCAACTTAGTGCTAAGATTGTTTTGTGGAACAAGATTAGGAAGCCAGTCAGTTGCATGTGCCAACTTAGTGCTAAGATCGTTTTGTGGAACAAGATTAGGAAGCCAGTCAGTTGCATGTGTCAACTTAGTGCTAAGATCGTTTTGTGGAACAAGATTAGGAAGCCAGTCAGTTTCATCTGTAAACTTAGTGCTAAGATCGTTTTATAGAATAAAATTAGGAAGCCAGTCAGTTTCATCTGCCAACTTAGTGCTAAGATCGTTTTGTGGAACAAGATTAGGAAGCCAGTCAGTTGCATGTGCCAACTTAGTGCTAAGATCGTTTTGTGGAACAAGATTAGGAAGCCAGTCAGTTGCATGTGCCAACTTAGTGCTAAGATTGTTTTGTGGAACAAGATTAGGAGCGTTGCAGTTTCATGTGCCAACTTAGTGCTAAGATCGTTTTGTGGAACAAGATTAGGAAGCCAGTCAGTTGCATGTGCCAACTTAGTGCTAAGATTGTTTTGTGGAACAAGATTAGGAAGCCTGTCAGTTTCATCTGCAAACTTACTGCTACGATCGTTTTGTAGAACAAGATTATGAAGCCAGTCAGTTTCATCTGCCAGCTTAGTGCTAAGATCGTTTTGTGGAACAAGATTATGAAGCCTGTCAGTTTCATGTGCCAACTTAGTGCTAAGATTGTTTTGTGGAACAAGATTAGGAAGCCAGTCAGTTTCATCTGCCAGCTTAGTGCTAAGATTGTTTTGTGGAACAAGATTAGGAAGCCAGTCAGTTGCATGTGCCAACTTAGTGCTAAGATCGTTTTGTGGAACAAGATTAAGAAGCCAGTCAGTTGCATGTGCCAACTTAGTGCTAAGATCGTTTTGTGGAACAAGATTAGGAAGCCTGTCAGTTTCATGTGCCAACTTAGTGCTAAGATCGTTTTGTGGAACAAGATTAGGAAGCCAGTCAGTTGCATGTGCCAACTTAGTGCTAAGATCGTTTTGTGGAACAAGATTAGGAAGCCTGTCAGTTTCATCTGCAAACTTAGTGCTAAGATCGTTTTGAAGAACAAGATTAGGAAGCCAGTCAGTTTCATCTGCCAGCTTAGTGCTAAGATCGTTTTGTGGAACAAGATGAGGAAGCCTGTCAGTTTCATGTGCCAACTTAGTGCTAAGATTGTTTTGTAGAACAAGATTAGGAGCGTGGCAGTTTCATGTGCCAACTTATTGCTAAGATCGTTTTGTGGAACAAGATTAGGAAGCCAGTCAGTTTCATCTGCCAACTTAGTGCTAAAATCGTTTTGTGGAACAAGATTAGGAGCGTGGCAGTTTCATGTGCCAACTTAGTGCTTAGATCGTTTTGTGGAACAAGATTAGGAAGCCAGTCAGTTTCATCTGCCAACTTAGTGCTAAGATCGTTTTGTGGAACAAGATTATGAAGCCTGTCAGTTTCATGTGCCAACTTATTGCTAAGATCGTTTTGTGGAACAAGATTAGGAAGCCAGTCAGTTTCATCTGCCAACTTAGTGCTAAGATCGTTTTGTGGAACAAGATTATGAAGCCTGTCAGTTTCATGTGCCAACTTAGTGCTAAGATTGTTTTGTGGAACAAGATTAGGAGCGTGGCAGTTTCATGTGCCAACTTAGTGCTTAGATTGTTTTGTGGAACAAGATTAGGAAGCCAGTCAGTTTCATCTGCCAACTTAGTGCTAAGATTGTTTTGTGGAACAAGATTACGAAGCCAGTCAGTTTCATCTGCCAGCTAAGTGCTAAGATCATTTTGTGGAACAAGATTATGAAGCCTGTCGGTTTCATCAGCATCCTGATCAGGTTACATTTATTCTTGTTATACAAAGAATTGTGTGGCGTAGTTTGCTAATAAACAAGTTGCCATGGTAACCTTTCAGACCATCAGTCAGTGACAAGGAAGACCCCAATGCAAGTCTGATGAAGATGATGCAGAACATGTATGAGGATGGGGATGATGACATGAAGAGGACGATCGCCAAGGCATGGACAGAAGGGCGGGACAAGACACCCACGGAGTGAGGCAACGTAGGGGATGGGGTGGGCGTGGCAACTGGTGGGTGGGGGGCGTTTTTACCACCGACACATAAGTATGACTGTAATAAAGCCATTCTGTTAGACTTTTTTCAGAAATTGTTTTTGTTGAAAGAACTCATTCTACCATTGTCTGGTTGTATTTTCACCCATGTTTTGATGTGAATGTGGCTACAGATATCATGATATCAAGCTTCAATATTGTTTTCAGTCACTTTAAATTTATCTTGAGCATGCCAAATTTACTACCCAGGTACCCACCCCGCTATTACCCGACCCTACCCGGGTACCCACTGTAGGTCTCAAGAGATAGGTACAAAATGTCCGATTGGAAATAGTATGACCTTAGCCCTGGACAAAATGTATTTACACACATGTATTAAACGATTTGGTCATGCATACACTGAAGTTGACTGAAGTTTTATCTTTATTCAAACATATAAGTCAGAAGGGTGCATAGTCAGAAAGAAATGCGAACATTAGTGACTTGGGGTGTAGCCATATAGTGTAACCACGGGTCCGGGTAGTCCTTTGTGTACCCACCCGACCAGTGTACCCGAGTTACCCATCCCAGCCCTAGCAAGTTTTGTGACTGAGTTTTGGGACGTTGTATCAGCATGATCAGTGAATGGCTGGCCCTGGAGAGTGAGAGAGGGTGGAACTCCTGCGACATTCCTATGTGTTATATACTAATAAAAAAATGTTATGGACACCCAAATCTTTCATATTATTATATTTAATCTGTCATACCACGACAGATTTACTATAGCAATATGAAAGAATCAGGTGGTCCTTAACTTTTTTTGATTAGTATAAATGTGAGCTGGTCTCTCTTGGCGGGCAGATCCAGCATTGCAGTGAAAACCTGGCAGCGTGAATCACCCAGGAATATCGTTGGCTGTTTTAGCAGGATATATATTTTCAAGTTCATGGTCATTTTGTGTTAATAGGTATGCAGCGATAAACTGCTCCCATGTACAACATACCAATGTTTCACAGTCATGCCCCAGAAATAGGAATTAAATAGTTTTTCTCCATCATCTAGTTTGTGCCCTCGTATTTAAGTATTACGTACATAGAGGATTCATCACGAGTGTTTTTTAATATGGGAAATATCAACCGAGTCTTAGTTAATCAGTATTTGCCGAGCCTTCGATATTTCCCATATTAAAAAACACGAGTGATGAATTCTATTTATCATTTTCACATTTTTGCTTCCCAATTAAGGAATAATTGCATTAAACATTAACATCAGCAACTTGTCGAAATCTTACGTATAGATCGTGCGTAGTGATACATGTTTTCCATAGCCGTGTAAACCAAAATAAACAACCTCTTAACTCCTTTATGACATATTCCTTCGCTGAGAAAAAAAGTTCCTCGGATTATTTTAAACAAAATACTTGAACAGACTTTTGCAGAATAATTGAAATAATGTCTCCAACATCAAAGGTATCCATGTTGTTTGTAAACACCTACTCACGTGCACCGGCAAAAAAGTCCCACTTCCGGTTATCTAATTTGCATACTTATGTCATTGGGGTATGACATACATGTTTTTATGTCATAAGCTTATGTCATGGATAAATGCTTTAGTTAAATGATAAAATACTTTTATCATCTTGTGTGGGTTCAAATCCTGGTGTCCCTGATTATGTTTCTAGGTTTGTGAGCACCATACACATGCTCGTGGGTTCGCGAAAGTTGTAAATGTCCGAAACAGGGATCACTTCAGGCTTTCCTCCCACATTAATCTGACATCCGGTATACAGCTGGAATACTGTTAAAAGTTTCTTCTGTGTGACTGACAGACTACAGGGGTCTTCGAGTTGGAATCATTTAGGGCCATTTATGTCAGGCCCGACCAATTCCTTTTCTTTGTCAGGGTTGATTTCCAAATATTAATTCCAGAACTTTCAAGAATACGAAAATAAAATATGTTCAATTCCATTCAAACTTGTCAGCCCCATTCACATCATGGGGCTGTAGGGAAGCCTAGTGGTTAAAGCGTTCGCTCGTCATGCCAAGGACCTGGGTTCAATTCCTCACATGGGTACATTTCTGGTGTTCTCTGTCGTGATACATGCATCTCAGTCTCTGTAAAATTGTCTGTGTTGTACGTAGACATTACGTGGTTGGGGTGTGAAGTCTCAGGTCATGAACTCCAAAAAATAAATGAAGGATATGATATTGAAAACCTATAACCTTAAATTATTTTAGGGCACTGTGGTTAAGAATCACTTCAATTACATACTGATCTTTTGTCTTTTTGACAATATTGATGAGAAATTTGTTCGTGTCATAAATTTGCCTTCAACATACAGTAAGTTTCTTTGAATTATTCCTTTATGGATCAACTTAATAATTTACTTACAGTAAGCAAAAACATTTGTCCACCCTGCTACGCATCATTAACGCCATGACCCATAGTCCATCTCCAGACATTTGAGAGTCACAATCAGTAAAACAAATTTTGGGGAAACTGCAGTCAAAATGGTCGTTCATGGATTTCCTTTCTGTAAATATTGATGATATTTGACGAGGACCTGACTTATCATGCTTATTATCTCCCTAACATGCTTCAGTGGCGGATCCATAGGGATGCAGTGGGTGCACATCCCCCTTGCAGGTTAACTGTACCCTCTGTCAAGTCAATTTGGGACTTAGGTATTATGTTCTTTTCAAAATCCTTGGTCCGCCTCTGTGCCTCATACGAAAATAAAATTGTTCTCAATCATTTTACATTCTTGAGTTTCTTTTGTGATTCGTTGTATTTTGCAATGAACACCTTGTTGACTGTTCGTACGCTCACATCGACCCTCATTATATAGATGTTCGTACGCTCACATCGACCCTCATTATATAGAACCGAAGGGCCAATAAAGGCTTAGTGGATCAATACGGAATTTGAGTGGGCCAAAACAGTTTTTGCGCGCGACTCAGTTCCATACATTGCAATCGCAACAAGACGACAAACTGCTGTCATCACACTTCGTTAGAGCGTGAATCATACAGTTGAGGTAGTAATTTCATTAATATATAATTAAATGGGTGTTTCATATTGGCCTTGTCAATATGTCCTCAGTCGGTCATATTGGCCCTTACCAGGCTATATTGGCCTTCAGTGTTGCCTTGGGCGTATGTGGCAGACCTTGGACCTGTAACAAGGCCAATATGAAAAAACACCAATGTAATAACAATAATAGTACAACAGTTGAAGAAATATTTATTATTATTTCCATGAGAAGTGTCCAGTTCACACACTTGTCAGGCAACTAAGACAGGATCAGGCAGCTGCTTTGACTTTCGGTCTGTGTTTCCATCCCCGGTACCAGTACACATCTTGAGACCCGTGAAGATCCGAGGTAGAATAGATCTTCAGCAACCCATGCTTGCAGAAAAGGCAATTATGCTTGTCGTAAGAGGTGACTAACGGGATCGGGTGGTCAGGCTAGCTGACTTGGTTGATGCATGTCATCGTATCCAAATTGCGTGGATGGATGCTCATGATGTCAATCACTAGATTGTCTGGTCCAGACTCGATTATTTACAGACCGCCGTCATATAGCTGGAATATTGCCGAGTGCGGCGTAAACAACAAACAAGTAAACTTTATTGGTCATGTTATCTGTAAAAATACAAGTCACCTCTATGAAGCCATAATATTATGAACATAAATTGGGAAATTTTGTATTCCAATTTGGGCATATTTACTGACATTTGCTGCAGACTTGGTGTCGAATATCCGAGTGAGCAGGTCTAGATACAGTCAAGTCTCGTTAATCCGACATCGTTGGTTGCACATGATTGTGTCGGATTAACGAGTATGTCGGATTAACGAAATTAAGTGATTTGTGATCGAAAATCGGACGTCTTCACGATAGATTATAACCGTGTGTACCTTGTAATAAAATCATTAAAAACGAAATATTAATATTGTTATGTTGTTTATTCATTCATTCCTTAATTTATAATTAATGACTATGCAAAAATAATAATTTTCCCATTTATACATAACAATAGAGACATTACTCACTGAATTTATCACATGATCAACGACACACGTTTCCTCGTGTAAATGCAGTGCTACTGTCTTAACAACTTGCTTCATCTACTTAAAATAGTCTGTCAGTGTGTGTCAAAACACGGGGTTGTGTACTCGCGGTCAGATGACCACGGAGTACGCTGATCACTGTGTCGGATTAACGAGACTGATTAATGAGTGATTTCGGCAATTCGTTGCAAATTAGGTGTGTTGGAGTCGGGGTGCGAGAATGTCGGATTAACGGGACTAAATAGCACTGAATCAATCGGTTCCCATCATTTGTGTCGGATTAACGAGTGTCGGATTAACGAGACTTGACTGTATATCCCTGGACAAAGTTCTACCTGTTCTACAACAATATTGATGATATTTAGTGAGGACCAGACTCGATGCTTTGTTCCTAATGGGCCTCAAATATACTCTTTGCAATCCTTTACATTCATATGTCTGACCCACACCTCATTTGCAACTCCAAAGGAGTTGACCTGATTTTCTGCATCATCAAAGGAATTGTTGATTCCGTAACAGTAACAGTTGACTCAGTATTTGGAAGCAATATTTATTATGTTCTTGAGGAGAGGTCACCAGTACCACAGGAAACTAAAACAGGACCAGTCGGCCACTTCACTTCTGTATTTACTTCCATGACATTTTGCCAACTAAAGGACCTGCACATTCGACTTCCAGTTTCAGACCATATCTATGTTCTACCATCCGATAGTCTCAATTATTTTCTACAGTTTTTCATAAATATTTAGACTATTAGAAGAAAGATTTTCTCAAACAGTCAAAATAATATCTTGGACATTTCCATCCCATAAATATTGACTTTCTGCCTCAAGCTTTGAAGAAAACGAGATACAATTAACTTGGATCAGTAATACAAACCTGTTTAGGGAAATAGAATTTGTCAAGTCTGATCCTATGTCATCAAGCTTAACACACAGCACGATTATTCTGATTGTCCATCCACAACACATTTCTCCAAGATATTGTATCACTTGTTATTTTTCTCAGACGCTGGAATTCGACCTATCAAATAAAACTCGGGGTTTGGTTTCACACGCAGGAAGTGAGCTAGTCTGTTGGACATGCTCAGAAAGGATGCCAGTGCCCCAATGTCCCAGGCATCATCGTGGTTCATTCCGTTCTCGTACAGCCGCTCAAACTGCTCGTCTGCCGGTGAGTGACATGCGGCAACGGTTGTTGCAAAGTCCAGGATCGCCTTCTGTCGTATGTCCAGATCTGCCATTCTCCAGTTGGTGGACAGCTGGTAGAAAGGGGAACATTAAAAAAAAATGCTGACAGTGGTTACCATGGTAACAACATAATAACATTCAAGAACACTAGTTAATCTCTTTTTACCCTAAGAATCGTAAACACTACTACTCTAATCTGTTTTCATTGTAGACCATGATAGGTCGAGTGAGTAGGTTGGTTGGGTTTAACGCCGCTTTTAACAGTATTCCAGTTATATTGTGGCGTGTCAGCTTTTAATGTGGGAAGAAAGCCCAAAGTGATGCAGGTCTCAGACGTTTACCACTTCGGTGAAACCCATGACCATGGGTATTGTGCTGAAAAACGAAGAAATATAATCGGGGAGAACCGGGATTCGAACCCAGTTAGGTCGGCAGAGCATGTACTGTTCTGCTAGTCATCTAACCCAATGACTCCATCTCGGTTAAACTGCTGATTGTCTATAACGTCCAGGAAAGTCTCACACCATAGGGATATAAAGATAAGCAATGAACCAAGTCACTGAGCCAGACCACAACCAGATGTCATAAGTAAACTTTGTCTCAACCTCAGGCTCAACCTCTCAACATGCTCACATCAAATTTTATTGTTGTGTTTAGACAAATATTGAAAACTATTTACTCCAGGGCCCCGTTACACAAAACGATTTGTAGGACTGAGATAGTTACTCCCATAACATAGACTTACGACCCTCATAGGGCTAAGATAGTCGTAACTCCCATACTTTAACATAGACTTACGACAGTCATAGCGCTAAGATGATTGTAACTCTCATACTTTAACATAGACTAACAACAGTCTTAGTGCTAAGATGGTCGTAACTCCCATACTTTAACATTGACTTACGACAGTCAAAGCGCTAAGATGATCGTAACTTCCATACATTAACATTGACTTACGACAGTCATAACACTAAGATGGTCGTAACTCCCATACTTTAACACAGACTTACGACGGTCTTAGCACCTTGATCACTTTTTGGGATGGGCCCCTGGTGCCATAGTTCTCAATATTTGTTAAAAATGTACCATGTATGACCACTCTTGGCATCCCCCGCCATGATTTGGTGGAAATATTGCAAACCAACTCCCCAACAACAAAGACATTTAGCTCACCTGGTCTGCCAGAATAGGGTTGCGCGAGTGTAGCCTGTAGAGTGCACTGTGAGTAGCCACACAATACAGACACTGATTGTCCGCACTCACAACCACGGCGATCATCTCCTTGTCTGCTTTTGTCACATTACCTGGGTATAGAGAAGTCAAACAAATACCGGTAAGTATCACTGAGGGATAACTTTAGTAATTACAACTTGTTTCATGTGAGGGTTTGTTTGGAGTTCAGCATAAGTTATAGGCATCACTGGGGTGTGCAGGGTCCCAAGGAGGCAGACTTCTTTTAGCTCACCTGGCCAGGTGATAAACTTTTTTCCTTTTTCGACTTGTCCAAAATTCAGGATAGATTTCCGCTGTCTTACCCTGGATCTTCATGGGTTTATGTTCTACTGAAAGTGGTCGATGAAAATGCAAGTATCCACACTTAAACTGGTTGATGAAGATGCTAGTATCTGCATACAGATTTTTTCTCACAGTTTCTTTGTATTGAAGTGTAATTGTCAGTATAAACAGGTCACCAGCCAGGGATTATTGTTTCTCACAAAGAAAACAACAGAAAGTTCCCCATGAAATAAAATAGATGGGAATCAAAATGAATGTAATGTTCGTTTGTTGTTTAACGCCGCACTCAGCAATATTCCAGCTATATGACGGCGGACCAGATAATCCAGTGATGCAATTGGGATATGATGACATGCATCAACCAAGTCAGTGAGCCTAACGACCCGAGCCCGAGTTGCCTCTTACGACAAGCACAGTCGCCTTTTACGGCAAGCATGGGTTGCTGAAGACCTATTCTACCCCAGATCTTCACGGGTCGTTGGCATGACATACAAATGGACATTGACTAGTTCATATTTTGATCCCAACTAGAAGTTTCTTTTATTCATGATCCTACATGCTGATCTGATAATGGTTGATGAATTCAAAGATGCTGACAGGCAGCAAACAAGTTTTATTACCAGTTGAACAGATGTTTTACATTTGCACTGAAGCATTGCTGAAGAAGACAAGTTGTCACCAAGTAGTACTTTTGACTCCATACAGGTCAAGTACGACTACTTACTACTGTCTCGCATCAGCACTTCATGGTAGTTGATAAATGCTCGCAGTTCGTCAGGTCGATACGACAGAGCCCCAAAAACATTTGGTAGAAATTTGGACTGGAAAATGGCAAACAAGGAAATTATCAAAACTGAGACCACACAACCTGTTGAGTGTTGTGACCTAATTACAGTGAACACATGTGTCAGAATCAAGTGGAATTCACCAAATAAAACAAATTTTCACCCTCTGATCATCCACAATGATAAAGTGCAACCATGGTAACACATCACAATTGTATTATGATCTATACCTTGGACCCATTCAGGAAGTCATGTCGACAGCTCCATCTCTCTTAGTCTTATCACTAGCCTGGCACAGAATTTCTCTTGCTTGTGCAATCATCAATAAATTAAAATGTCTCTTCTGAATGCGAGTTTGACATTGATCTACATTCTAAAGATTCGGGTTAGAATTGGTCTTCAGCAACCCATGCTTGCCATAAGAGGCGCTTACAGGATCGGGTGGTCAGGCTTGCTTTCTTGGTTGATGCATATCATCGTATCCCAATTGTGGGATCGATGTTCATGATATATTGCTGAGTGGAGCATTAAACAACAAATAAACTAAGATCTACACTGGAAATGACTGCCTCGCCCAAGCAAGTCCGCAGTACATTTAACTGCATTAGAAGACTGTTATAAAAGTATGAACAAGTAATATGACATGAGAGGGAAGCTGTTATGCTACAAAATGTTCTAGTTGTATTTGCGACTAGTACTGGTGATATTGCCACTTGTGTTAATCATGAAACAACAGTGTAATCTGGATGTCTATTTAAAACCCGTCTCAAAATATAGGTATATTCGTAAACGGGTCCAGGACATTTATCAGTACAGAATGGAGATATAATAAACGAGGTTGCCCTCAGATACCCCGAGCTCTCTGGATTTTATATATATTACATATAGCCAGAATGCTGCTGACTGCAACAACAAAAATATTTACTCACTCACCTTGTGGTTAAATAGATTGTTAGTGACGACAAGGACCTGGCTTCAATTCCCCACATGGGTACAATGTGTCGATCTCATTTCTGGTGTACCCTGCCGTGATATTGCTGGAATATTGCTAAAAACGGCATAAATCCATACTCACTCACTCACTCACTCACTCACTCACTCACTCTAACAACATGAATGGCATATGAAACAATGAAGAGCTTAAAAATAAATTATCACAAAATGTATAGATCTCTTTAAGTAAATGTCTGTAACAGTAAACTTATGTAACGTATACATTAATTAATATTTATTTTCTCTCATATTGATGGGGGGGGGCACAAGTGGCCCAGTCATCTGAGGCACTGCATCGTGGGTTCAAATCCTGGTTTCTAGGTTTGTAAGCACTATACCCATGCTCATGGGTTTTACCAAAGTGGTAAACATCTGGGACCTGCATCACGTCAGGCTTTTCTCTCACATTAAACTGACATGCAGTGATATAACTGGAATTCATTCTATTCAAAGCGGCGCTAAACCCAACTCAATCACTCATATTATCTGACCTTGCCAAACTTTTCCTTGAGGTCGTCTGGCAACTCCTGGACATCCGGTACCGGGAATCGGCTGATGGGAGCATCATGTGACTCATCATGAGCCAGTCTCACACCTGATGTTGCAATACTTCTTCTGCTTAAATTTGTCTGAAATTAAAATATTGACATAATTCATTAATCAGTAACTGATTTGGTCAGTGCTTACATTAAAATATGGGTACTGTTGAAATGTTACAACTTCCCCATAAACTTACTGAAACCTGCAAAATCTATCTTACATTTTCTTGGTTTGTTAAATCCTGTTTTGTTCATTGTATGATCTAGATCTAACTACTTTGTTTTATAACCTTCTGTATTTCAATTTGTTATGCACTAAACCCTAAATTAGTTACAGGGATGAAGGGTTAAAATCGCGAAAATGGTAAATTCTGAAACACAACTCTAAACATAATAAAGAGATTAGATATTGTAAAATTAGAAAATTATCAAATCTAAGAGAAGTGAGGAAGTATGTTGTTCACGCCAGAAATGAGCTTCACATGTTGTACCCATTTGGGGACTTGAACCCAGCCTTCAGCATGACAAGCTATGCAACACCTTAACTACTAGGCTACCCAACCTCCCCTGGAACCCTAAGAAAGTATTACAGAGGGTCCAAACAATAAGATAGTGAAAGCAAACAATATCACTGAGAATAGAAACGCAGCATCACACTGTAAAGTGTACACTCTTGTCAAATGTAATTAAAACAGAAATTGCATGTTAAGTAATAAGTACTATCTCTGTCAGTCCCTGTCATACCTGATTCTTGAAAATTATGCCTATTCTTCTCAAATACTGCAATTTGCTTCTTAAAAACATGTTTGAGTATTAATGTATACGGCTTCTCAAAATAAGAAATGTTAGCAGATAATATTAACACTGATTTCTGCACTGGCTAGAAACATTTATCTTTCAGCTGGTTGCATGGTTGTGCGAATGGTGTTGAGCCTGGTCCCGTCTCTAAATATCTCTTCAAAGAGACGCCGCACAGAAACCATCGGAAACCAGTTTAATAGAAGTGTTAGGGACTAGTTGTTTATTGCGATTTTGAGTTAACATTTACTTACTCTAAAATTTAAAAACAAACACTACATCGGCAGGTTACAAAACAATAATAACTTAATCTTAATATGCAGACTCATAAACTATTCATTTGTCACTAAAACTACGTTTTATTAAATCTATATGAAACTATATACTCTATGCTCATTTCTGGAAATCCCCTTCTGACGTCACAGATACAATCATGGCGACCACGAGGTTATCCACGACTTTGAACATCGGAAAAACATTGGTCTCAAACTTGCGTTCTCTGTGCACTGTGAGTTTATCCAATAGTTGGTATGATTTATTTGTTAAGTGTCGCTTAAAGTATATCATCATGGGGTATTTTATATATCACTATGGTATTTGATGAACTTTCTGGCCGAAAAAGCAGACGGACAGTTTGACATTGACATTGTGATCACGTATTTTGACAGTTCATGGGCGTGATCAGAGAACGAGTTCCCACAGATTAAGTTGTCTTCATGTATTGAACCTTTTGGTGTTTTTACAAGAACGCTTAACCTTAGTACATGTAGTAGAAAACTAAAAATATGTATTAGCATGTTAATCTTCCGCTTATATCATGGTCAGTTAATTAATCCGAATCAATTTACAGATCACACCTGTCTAAAAATAAAAATGGTATTTAGCAAAACATTGAAACATATATTATTATTATTATTATTATTATTATCATTTGGTGATTCCGGATTAGAATTGGGCCCTAGCAACCTACATGCTGATCGTAAATAGCTGGAAAGAGGCGACTTAATGGATTGGATTTTCAGGCTTGGTGACTTGGTTGATGAAGTGTCAACCAACCAGCACGGATTGTTCCTTATAATCAAATATCTATCACTAAATTGAGCAGACTCAATTATTTACAGACCTCAGTCATATGGCTGCGGCACTCAACAACACACACTCACGTCACACATTATTATTATCATTTATTTCTGTAACCACCAGCTGGCCACCATTTATGGAGTGATATATGAAATTAATAAAATACCTGCCTTTTTCAATGAATTCATCCATTGATATCCATCCACTGGGGCAATTTACCAAGACAAATTGAATATTGCATTGAAAAATGCAACTATATACAGGATATACCTTGCATGAATTCAGTAGCTTTAGCATTGCAAAATTGCTTTTGCAGAATGGGTTGATTTCTCTTTTGGTGAGTTAGGTCTACATGTTCCAGCAGTCTGGGAAAATCCCTATGTCATGTATATTGTAACATGAAGGGGCAGTGGGGCAGCCTAGTGGTTAAAGCATTCGCTCGTCAACCCGAAGACCTGGGTTTGATTCCCCACATGGGTACAATGTGTGAAGCCAATTTCTTGTTTCCCTGCCCTGTTATTGCTGGAATATTGCTAAAAGAGGCGTAAAACTAGACTCACTGTAATATCAAAACTTGATTATCCTGGTTCAAAAGGGATATGTAACAAATTAAGACAACAATGAGTTATGTTACAATCAAGGCAGATTACTATATCACCATCAGCCTGTTTAGCCATCATTATGTACACAGTCGTTGTGATGTTGTTATCATGGTTATGGTGTGATCTTTTATTTTATTTTGTTCTCTGTTGTCCTGTAATGATTTGATTTTGTTGTGTTTTTTTGTTGTCGCAGCCAAGCGTGAGCAAAATTCCTGCCAGCAATGGCTTCCACACGACTCCTCACAAAACCGCGGTATGTGTTGTCACACCAGTGTCAATATGGTCATGCATGTCCCATAGCTTTGTTCTGTTGTAACCATGGTAACTAGTGGAACTGCACTGCAGGTTTTACTTGTGTCTTTACTTGTACAAACTGAGAATGAATGTAAATAATTAACATTGTGAGTCCTGGGAACACTAAAAAAGGGGGTTTGTAAGCCTTGAATTTTAAGGTCCCTCTTGAAAAGCCTTGATTTTTGTGTGTAATCCTTCAAAAGCCTTGTAAATCACCAAATTAGCTTGAAAAGCCTTGAATTTTTACATTTGCGTACTCAGAGATCGTACTCAGAGGTGTTCCAATTAGCATGAATAGATGTCAATCAAATCAGTTACACAGAAAATTACTTGATCTTAAACGTTCATGTTACATTCCTGAGGCAAGGAAGGAAATACTTCGGAAACACCCTGTGCAACCATGGTAACTGTAACAGATTGAGTATCAAAATCAAAATGACGACTTTGGGCTTAGTGTATCACTTTGGCAGGAGTCGAAAAACAGAATGTTCTGATGTAACAATACCTTTGAAATATTTTTAATTGTCCATTCAACCAATCCAGAAGCTGAAATTTCCACTAACCAAGTAGTACTCCCTACTTAGCATCTTCATTCCCAGTTAAACATGCTTGAATCTTTTTACATTGTGCCCCGGTGACATCAGCTATCAGTTCATCAAATATATTTAGTTTGTATTACTTAGTGTGCACTTTCACACTTCACCTCCAAGTTATCGACTGAATTGTTAATTTTGAATGTCTAGAATATCCCTGAGCCTGTGTCGAAGCCAGCTGGTCGCCATGTTGTGACGATGGTGCCCGGTGATGGCGTCGGCCCAGAGATGATGGGCGGCGTCATGGATGTGTTCCAAGCTGCCGGCGTTCCTGTCGACTTTGAGGAGATCTTCCTGAGGTATAGCAATAGTTGAAAACACAAGCACAGCAGCAGCCATGTTGAAAAAACTACATGTAGCCATACTTAGTCAATTTGTTCAAAATGTCATGAAAGTTGGTAATTGTGTAGTTAGTGGTGGGGCTCAACGTATGTGTTCGCTTTCTTGCAATGTCATAAATTTTGACCTTGGTTTGACTTTTGCACTTTTACCTTGCTCTTAAATTGTCTCAAAATGCATTTCCTCAAACTGAAATCTCTTCAGACAAAGCTGGAAGTTTATGTGCTTGTTTTCACCAGTGATAACATCTGAATCTGATTGAGGTTTGAATCTGATTTTCAATGCGGGGTACCATGAGACAATGTTACCTTAAATAGGAGCGGGGTCAGCAAAATATGATACAAATCCCACCCATTATAAATACTGAGTCCCTAATATTGAAAAACAATTCATGGCCACTGCTCAGTCATTTCTGCACTGTAATCATCTTAAATTCTCTCAAAATTCTATCTTCTTTGAAATTGCCAGACTGAGGAAGCTGAACTTTGGCTTCTTCTTATGATGACATCTTATTTTGTTCAAATATTTAGGATTTTACTGTTTGTTTGTGAAACAATTGGAAATACTGTATGTCATTAGAAACATTATTCTCTTTAGAAGGTTTATGAGGCTTAGTTGAAACTTAGTGTGAAGTGAATATTACTGGTGTGTATTGGGGCACTGTAGACTGATGACTACATATCCAGGTGAGCTTCAGTGCCGTGGCAGTATTTTCTTGTTTTTCACATGAGCCTACTTTAGTGTTGAGGAAAAAAACTAATTTGTTGGATTGAAAATTTTCTTAGTTTGAACATCTGTTTTCTGGGTTTTTTTTAATCTTTCAGTACTGACAATACTCTAGATGTACTGTATTCTCCTACAACATTGTAGATTGATTAACCAAATCTGTTTTACCAGAAAACAAACTGGCATGGCCCAGATGAAAGTGCCAAACATTGCCGCTGAATGTGATTTCTTATAATCTTATATGCAGATTAATTTTTGTGTTTTCTTTCCCAGTGAAGTTCAACCGGGTCAGAGCGCCAGTTTGTCAACAGCCACTGAGTCATTTCTTAGGAATGGCGTCGGTCTGAAGGGCATTATCACAACGCCAACCAGCTTTAAGGGAGGCGTACTGCGTACACTCAACATGAGGCTCAGGTAGAGTTATCTTTCCTTTCTGTGCATTAGTTTCCTGTGTTTCTTAGGTGTCCCCACAGACAATGGTTGTAAGACAACAACACAGGCTCCGTGTAGCAATGTCACGTTTCATAAGGCCCAAACAAATTGTACATGTTTCAGGTTTTCTCACTGACCCTCGTCCACAGCTCTTGATCCTAAACCTTTGTTCTCGTTTTTCACCTGAGTTGCTCCAAAGGGTTCTCTTTATTTTATGCCACTGTCTTCAATTGTCATTTGAACTGCAAGTTACTGGTACCATTTTTTAGAAAAAAATAAAAGTAAAATTCATAATCAGGTCTACCTGCCCTCTTTAGGTAGAATAGGTCTTCTGCAACCCCCATTCTTGCCATTACAGGGGACTATGCTTGTCATAAGAGGCGACTAACGGGATTGGGTGGTCAGGCTCGCTAACTTGGTTGATCCATGTCATCGATCCCAATTGCATGGAATGATGCTCATGATATCAATCACTGGATTGTCTGGTCCAGACTCGATTATTTACAGACTGCTGTCATATAGCTAGAATATTGCTGAGTGCGGCGTTAAACAACAAACAAACAAAAACAAAACATTGTCCAGCCTCATTGTGTCCTGGATTTCTTGATCTGTTATCGTGATCTACGTTGTGACAGACGAGAGTTGGATCTCTTTGCCAACGTGGTGTGGGTAAGGAGCTTGCCGGGCTTCAAGACCCGCCACAACAACCTGGACTTTGTCATCATACGTGAACAGACCGAGGGGGAATACAGCGCACTGGAGCACGAGGTGGGTGTCACAGAATCTGTCATGTTGCGGGACAGTCCTCCATACATCTTGCTTGTCTCACCATGTTGAGCTAAGTAGGTCATTTCTCAAGTTTATTACACCATGGTGAGATAAGTAGGTCGTATCCCAAGTTGGTTTTACCATGTTGAGCTAAGTAGGTCATTTTTCAAGCTTATTACACGATGGTGAGATAAGTAGGTCATATCCCAAGTTTGTCTCACCATGTTGAGCTAAGTAGGTCATTTCTCAAGCTTATTACACCATGGTGAGATAATTAGGTTGTATCCCAAGTTTGCCTCACAATGGTGAGCTGAGTAGGTCATTTTTCAAGCTTATTACACCATGGTGAGATAAGTAGGTCGTATCCCAAGTTTGTCTCACCATGGTGAGCTGAGTAGGTCATATCTCAAGCTTAATACACCCTGGTGAGTTAAGTAGGTCATATCCCAAGTTTGTCTCACCATGTTGAGCTAAGTAGGTCATTTCTCAAGCTTATTACACCATGGTGGGATAATTAGGTTGTATCCCAAGTTTGTCTCACCATGGTGAGCTGAGTAGGTCATTTCTCAAGCTTATTACACCATGGTGAGATAAGTAGGTCGTATCTCCACCTTTTTCTTAGAATAATGCACTAAGTAGGTCGTATCCCAGACAAAAAATTTAAGTTTGGCTCAAGATTACCACTACTTTGAGGCGGGTGTGTGGGAAGCCCAGTGGACAAAGCTGCTGCAACAAACTGTAAAGTTGTGTCCCTTTACTAGCAGGATCACAAGTTCAAATCCCAGGTTCTTACCATCTCTCATCTTGGTCTGTTGGCACCAATGTAGCCAACATGTACGACAGGCATCACCATTGCCTTCTTATTGTTTGCTTGTGGTAAAAGCTGTGACATGCTCTTGGTCATACAGACAATGGTTCATGAACTATGGCATCACCATTGCCTTCTTATTGTTTGCTTGTGGTAAAAGCTGTGACATGCTCTTGGTCATACAGACAATGGCTCATGAACTATGGCATCACCACTGCCTTCTTATTGTTTGCTTGTGGTAAAAGCTGTGACATGCTCTTGGTCATACAGACAATGGTTCATGAACTATGGCATCACCACTGCCTTCTTATTGTTTGCTTGTGGTAAAAGCTGTGACATGCTCTTGGTCATACAGACAATGGTTCATGAACTATGGCATCACCATTGCCTTCTTATTGTTTGCTTGTGGTAAAAGCTGTGACATGCTCTTGGTCATACAGACAATGGTTCATGAACTATGGCATCACCACTGCCTTCTTATTGTTTGCTTGTGGTAAAAGCTGTGACATGCTCTTGGTCATACAGACAATGGTTCATGAACTATGGCATCACCACTGCCTTCTTATTGTTTGCTTGTGGTAAAAGCTGTGACATGCTCTTGGTCATACAGACAATGGTTCATGAACTATGGCATCACCACTGCCTTCTTATTGTTTGCTTGTGGTAAAAGCTGTGACATGCTCTTGGTCATACATACAATGGTTCATGAACTATGGCATCACCACTGCCTTCTTATTGTTTGCTTGTGGTAAAAGCTGTGACATGCTCTTGGTCATACAGACAATGGTTCATGAACTATGGCATCACCATTGCCTTCTTATTGTTTGCTTGTGGTAAAAGCTGTGACATGCTCTTGGTCATACAGACAATGGTTCATGAACTATGGCATCACCATTGCCTTCTTATTGTTTGCTTGTGGTAAAAGCTGTGACATGCTCTTGGTCATACAGACAATGGTTCATGAACTGAACTATGGCATCACCATTGCCTTCTTATTGTTTGCTTGTGGTAAAAGCTGTGACATGCTCTTGGTCATACAGACAATGGTTCATGAACTATGGCATCACCATTGCCTTCTTATTGTTTGCTTGTGGTAAAAGCTGTGACATGCTCTTGGTCATACAGACAGTGGTTCATGAACTATGGCATCACCATTGCCTTCTTATTGTTTGCTTGTGGTAAAAGCTGTGACATGCTCTTGGTCATACAGACAGTGGTTCATGAACTATGGCATCACCATTGCCTTCTTATTGTTTGCTTGTGGTAAAAGCTGTGACATGCTCTTGGTCATACATACAATGGTTCATGAACTATGGCATCACCATTGCCTTCTTATTGTTTGCTTGTGGTAAAAGCTGTGACATGCTCTTGGTCATACAGACAGTGGTTCATGAACTATGGCATCACCATTGCCTTCTTATTGTTTGCTTGTGGTAAAAGCTGTGACATGCTCTTGGTCATACAGACAATGGTTCATGAACTATGGCATCACCACTGCCTTCTTATTGTTTGCTTGTGGTAAAAGCTGTGACATGCTCTTGGTCATACAGACAGTGGTTCATGAACTATGGCATCACCATTGCCTTCTTATTGTTTGCTTGTGGTAAAAGCTGTGACATGCTCTTGGTCATACATACAATGGTTCATGAACTATGGCATCACCATTGCCTTCTTATTGTTTGCTTGTGGTAAAAGCTGTGACATGCTCTTGGTCATACAGACAATGGCTCATGAACTATGGCATCACCACTGCCTTCTTATTGTTTGCTTGTGGTAAAAGCTGTGACATGCTCTTGGTCATACAGACAATGGTTCATGAACTATGGCATCACCACTGCCTTCTTATTGTTTGCTTGTGGTAAAAGCTGTGACATGCTCTTGGTCATACAGATAATGGTTCATGAACTATGGCATCACCATTGCCTTCTTATTGTTTGCTTGTGGTAAAAGCTGTGACATGCTCTTGGTCATACAGACAATGGTTCATGAACTATGGCATCACCATTGCCTTCTTATTGTTTGCTTGTGGTAAAAGCTGTGACATGCTCTTGGTCATACAGACAATGGCTCATGAACTATGGCATCACCACTGCCTTCTTATTGTTTGCTTGTGGTAAAAGCTGTGACATGCTCTTGGTCATACAGACAATGGCTCATGAACTATGGACACAGAGAAGATGGGTCAGGTTTGAGTAAGATGCTAATCTCCAGTTTGATTGTGTCAATCATGTGTTCAGAGTGTCGAAGGAGTGATCGAGTGTCTCAAGATCATCACCCGGGATAACTCCATGAGAATTGCCAAGTTTGCATTTGACTATGCCCTCCGTCACAACAGAGAAAAGGTCACAGCAGTTCACAAAGCCAACATCATGTAAGTTGTGTTGTGAATCTCAAAGTTTTAAGATATGTAGAGAATCTCTACCGGGCGTCTTTTCGTTTTATCAATGCATGTTGATTAATCGATATCAAAAGACACAAGGGTTAGCATGGTTAGATTCTATTTATCATCCAAAATCTTACTTCCTATTATTTAGTTCATAAACAGTAATAACCAGTGTCTTGAGTGTAAAAAGTACAGCTAACCAGTTTCAGTGGCAGAGGGATTGGTGATGTCATTAGATTGTGATGTCTTTAGATTGTGATGTCATTAGATTGTGATGTCATGGTAAACAATAGCATCACAAGCATTGTAGGGATATGTCCTAGGAGATAGTATTTGATCTCACACAAATGATATCTCCTGTGGAAGCCAGTTTGGGATGATGAATAACTTTATACAGGGTCTTCTTTATTTACTCTGTATGTGCTTAGTTCATATCTTGCCTTCTGCATTGTTTTGACCTTCAAAGTTTGTACCTAGATTTTAGTTAATTGATCAATGGCTTCAAGATTTTGACTCCCCATATCAGCAGAGTCCTATTTTGTACACTTCAGGAAGCTTGGTGACGGACTGTTCCTCAAGTGTTGTGAGGAGGTTGCTGCCCTGTACCCCAAGATACAGTTTGAAACTATGATCATCGACAACTGCTGCATGCAAGTATGTGGCCAGCCATATTACAGCTGTAATGATAGGTTACATTAGGTCCCCAGCAACCTATGCTTGTTGTAAGAGGCAAGACCAGGTGGTCAGGTGACTTGGTTCATTGCATGTGATCGTATGGATTGATGCTCATGATGTCAATCACTGGATTGTCTGGTACAGACGGCCGTCATATAGCTGGAATATTGCTGAGTGCGGCGTTAAACAACAAACAAAACAAAACATAATTCACTCCCTCCATGTCTGTAATGTCACCAGATGAGACTAAATTATTTACTTCATCATGATTTTTTACCTGTCATTGGGTCCAGATTATGTCTTTCTCTACTTTTCATGGGGGCAGGAGTGGCCCAGTCATCTAAGGTGCTGCAATTCGCTGTGCAGAGTTGCATCCCTTGGACATGTCAGAAACTTATGATCATGGGTTCAAATTTATGGTTCGCCCCAATTATGTTTGTGATTGTGATGGAACTGGAATACTGTCTAAAGTGGCGTTAAACCTAACAGACTCACTCACACACTTTTATGACTTTGACCCAATCTCATCAAAATCAGACCTTAGTTCTCACTACCGCTAAACAAAGATCTGAACACATCCCATTAGGGGTCACGTCAGAATGGCCTTTCATCCGACCAATGAGAGTGTCGCTTACCAGATCATGAAAGTGACAGTCGGAATGTGATTTCTAATCATACAACCTCGAAAACTTTAACACAGGGTATTCCGAACGATAGTTACAGGTATAACGACTGAATCCATACAATCTAGACCATCTATTAGCCATTCAAGAATGTTCTTTTGTTTAGGTTTCAAATTTGTGTTTCGAAGCGTAGTCGCCAATTTGAAATTAGTGCCGTAATGCACAAGAAAGCTGCCTTCTGATTGGTCATTCTATTGGTCGGTCAAAGTTTGCGCAAGGTCGGTCTGACATGACCCGTAATGGGATGTCCTCAGATCTTTGTTTAGCGGTAGCGAGAACTAAGGTCTGATTTTAATGAGATTTGACTTTGACTTTGCTGTGAATTCTGATGATGTTTCTATGTCAAGATACTTTTCAAATCATTGTCAATGACACTTCCAGATGGTGTCGAACCCCCACCAGTTCGATGTGATGGTCATGCCTAACCTGTACGGCAACATCCTTGACAACTTGGCAGCAGGGCTGGTCGGCGGTGCCGGTGTTGTACCAGGAGAGAGCTACAGCAAGGATGTTGCCATCTTTGAGCAGGTATGTCACATTTCAGAGAAAATATTAAGCAAATGAATGTTTTGAGTTCTCCAATAGGGTGGTGGTAGCCTTGCAGCAGTTTCACATCGGTTCCTGTCCATGTCATCACCTCCTGTCGGGGTACATTCATGAACGTGGGTTCTAGGATGTGAAGTTGACATGCCGGAATAAAACTGGAATACTGTTCAAAGAAGTGTTAAACCCAACACGCTCACTCACTCACTTCCTGTCCATGTCATCACCTCCTGTCCATGTCATCACTTCCTGTCCATGTCATCATGTCCTGTCCATGTCATCACTTCCTGTCCATGACATAATATCCTGTCCATGTCATCACTGCCTGTCCATGTCATCACTTCCTGTCCATGACATCATTTCCTGTCCATGTCATCACTTCCTGTCCATGTCATCACTTCCTGTCCATGACATCATTTCCTGTCGGTGACATCATTTCCTGTCCATGTCATCACTTCCTGTCCATGTCATCACCTCCTGTCCATGTCATAACTTCCTGTCCATGTCATCACCTCCTGTCCATGACATAATATCCTGTCCATGTCATCACTGCCTGTCCATGTCATCACTTCCTGTCCATGACATCATGTCCTGTCCATGTCATCACTTTCTGTCCATGTCATCACTTCCTGTCCATGACATCATTTCCTGTCCATGTCATCACTTCCTGTCCATGTCATCACCTCCTGTCCATGTCATCACTTCCTGTCCATGACATCATTTCCTGTCCATGTCATCCCTTCCTGTCCATGTCAACACTTCCTGTCCATGACATCATATCCTGTCCATGTCATCACTGCCTGTCCATGTCATCACTTCCTGTCAATGTCATCACTTCCTGTCCATGACATCATTTCCTGTCCATGTCATCACTTTATGTTAACAGGGTGCCCGCCATGCTTTTGCTGAGGCTGTAGGGAAGAACATCGCCAACCCAACTGCCGTCCTGCTTAGCGCTTGTAACATGCTCAAACACATTCACCTGGAGTACCACTCTAAGCTCATCGAGGAGGCTGTCATCCGTGTCATCAAGACTGGCAAGGTCAGTAGATATGAGCATGTTTGTTCACTTGTTTAATGCCGCACTCAGCAACCAGTGGTCTGTAAATAAACAAGTCTGGACTGACAATCCAGTGATTGGTATCATGAGAATCAATCCACGCAAGTGGGAAACACTGACACGTATCAACCAAGTCAGCGAGCCTGACCACCCGATCCTGGGTTGCATGGGTTGTTGAAGACCAATTCTAACCCCGATCTCAATCATGGAAGTCCCATGACATACGACAGACCATTTCAAATCTGTCTCATCCTATTGGTGTTCATCACCAGTCATGGATTCCTAATTTCTAATTTGGAACCTTCTGATTGAATTAATATCATGCAAAGAGTTTGTGATTGATGAGTTATAGTAGAGCAGTGATGCAGCCATTCATTTATTTATTCATTAAAAAATTGACATAGTTGAAACTAAAGGATTGATAATCCAGTTTATTATATCTTTACTCTATAATGATAGTTACCCTAGACCCATTAGCCATCATCAACTTTCATTTTGAGTCCAATTCAAAATATTTCACACTAAAAACAGCCATCAGTTCTCAGTCTGTGCCTAAAACTTTGGAGACTAGTAGCATGAAACACAGATCTTAGTGGGGCACGGGTGGCCCAGTCGTCTAAGGCGCGGCGATTCATGTGCAGAGTTGCGTCCCTTGGGCACGCCAGAAACCTATGATTGTGGATACGAAACCCGGTTCGCCCCGATTATGTTTCTAGGTTTGTCAGCACCATACCCATGCTCGTGGGTTTCACCGAAGTGGTAAACGTCTGAGACCTGCATCACTCCGGGCTTTCCTCCCACATTAAGCTGACACGCCGCGATATAACTGGAATACTGTTAAAAGCGGCTAAAACCCAACTCACTCACTCACAGATCTTAGCATCATTTTCATTAGATTTCAGTGTTATTATTTGGACTATTATTTGTTGAGCTTACTAGACGGAACAGACTTTTACTTGATTCAGGGCTTCGTACTAGTGGCTTGTCTGGAAGTCACAGACTGGAAGCTTTGTGCAAAGCTACTGATAAGATAGATGGAGGCGATGACATCGCTTCCTATAGGAGACTATGGTAGCAGATGGGTCCTGGTTATTTATTCTAATACAGTCAAGTCCCAATAATCCAACATTGTTGGTTGCATATGATTATATGTCTAAATTTAAGGAGTATGTTGGATAAACGGAATTGAGTAGTATCAACGTTCGTGATCGAAAATCAGACAACTACACAAAAGATAACGATACAAACACCAGAGACCGCAAAGCTTAAGAAAGCTGCTCTCTAAGTGGCTAACATTTACCTCCTGTTAGTCATTTCATTGGTCGGTCATAGTTCACGAAAGGTTGTTCTGACGTGACCTGTGATGGGATGTCCTCGGCGATAGCAAGAACTTGTATCTGATTTTAATGAGATTGGGGTAATCTAAGCATGTGATTAGTCTTGTTTTCTTTATTTAAAGCATTAATTGTTTATTGTTAAGCAAGTTTATCTCTGCAGCAGTTGTAATATGCAGCTACCAGCCGGTTAGTCTCGTATCAAAACACGGGCTGTGTACTCACGGGCAGATGACCATGGAGTACGCAGATCACTGTGTCGGATTAACGAGACTGATTAATTAGTGATTTCGATAATTTGTTGCAAATTAGGTGTGTCGGAGTCTGAGTGTCAGACTGTCGGATTAACGGGTCTAAATAGCACTGATTTAATCGGTTCTCATCATTAGTGTCGGATAAAGCCGATGGTCGGATTAACGAGTGTCGGATTAACAAGACTTGACTGTACCGAGTAAATATACTACAACGGATATCGAGGAGGAAACTGAAGGTATTGACCTATAGCTACAGCTGTTGTATAAACATGTGACTTTCTCCCCAGATACGCACCAAGGACATGGGTGGTTACGGATCCACCAGTGACTTCATCAAGGCCGTAGTGCACAGTCTGTAGCTTCCTCCATCAAACTCCTTTAGTCGTTTATTTATTGTTGTTGTCAAATAAACATAAACACTTAAATGCCCAGTGTACATTAACAACTTGTAAGGAAATTGTGGTCATAATTCCAGTATTGTTAGCAAGATTCAATGTGTACATCGGAAATTATTAATCTTGTTTCCTGTGAAAATGCAATGTTGACTGATCAAGATTATTCCGGTCTGTCACAACCATCAGCTGGTGAAGAAACAGGCTGATGTTTAGGGTCAAAGCACTTGTGGTAAATTGTTGAGAAATAATCACTGATCTAAACTACGTTGTTTTTTAAAGATGCACTCATGTGCAATAGTGTTTTTTTGGTGATGTCAAATTTTGTTCATGTGTATTTTTGTTTCGGTAAATGAAATGAGGATGAATACTGATGAATCTCACTTTGATATTTCTACGTTTTGTTTTTGAATATTTTAAAGGTACCAGATTTCTGTAGTTGGCTGATTGATGTCACCTGAAATATTTAACACACATTAATGGAGAAGCTTTTCCCCTGTGTGGCAATGTGCATAGACAGACATTGTGTAGATGGAACAGTGGGACAATCTATACTGTTCTGCTTTCATAGAAATATTTTCATCTCGCCATGATACACAACACCGACTCTCATAGGTCAAGTGTATATTCAAACAGAATATATCTCATTATCCCTATCAAAAGTTGAGTAGTATACATTCAAATGATATAAAGAACTGTTCCTGAAACTATCCTATAAGAATCATTGAGGAATGGTCTCTGTTCATGTTCTTGTTTTATACTAGAATGGTTTAAAGTAACTTCAGTTTCAGATGCACTTTCAAAGAGTTTACAAATGTACCAGTACGGGTTTACCATACTGCGATCTTGTGAAATTGAGTAATTTATTATTCATTGAATATTTTCTATTTTCTGCATTTACAGGTTATTAAAGATGTATACTGATATTTAAGATTGATTTAGATCTATGAAACTGTACATTGTTTGTGTACAGACTGTTATCACATTTATACCCTGTACAGATATACTGAACCAGTGAAAGGCCATGATAAGCTCATCATTAGATTTTCATCAAACTTTTAAAAAAATGTGAGGCAGGAGACTGTTTAAAGGATTATCAAATAAACTAACTTTTCAAGGCATCTGTGTCAATTGTTGATGGATGTGATTTGCACTATGTATATGATGTAGTTCATCAATTGTTTGTTTGTTGTTTAACGCCGCACTCAGCAGTATTACAGCTATATGACGGCGGTCTGTAAATAATCGAATCTGGACCAGACAATCCAGTGATTGACATCATGAGCAATTGGGATACAATGACATGCATCAACCAAGTCAGCGAGCCTGACCACCCGATCCCGTTAGTCGCCTCTTATGACAACCATAGTCACCTTTTGCGTCAAGCATGGGTTGATGAGACACAGTGATTTTGTCTGTATATACGTGTGTGGAAAATAAGATGTTCAGAATTTGGTAGCTAGGCAAGTGAGAATGAAAATCTAACATGTAACCTATCATGGTCTAACCTAAGATTGTAGATAACACCATTTGTTGTCGGTGTATTATCTTTCATTTTGTTTTGTTTTGTTAATAAAACATATACCAAAGCAACAAGATTACATTTTGTTATCCTCATGTTGTCCAGGAAAGCCACAACAGTCACCAAGTAGAATATGTGAGATTTATTTCAACATATACAGGGAATTGTAAGTGATGCTGTGTCGTCGGTATGTAGAAGTGACAGGACGGATCAAGTATACAGATACGGTTCTGGGGATCAGAACGAAATAATTACAAACATGAATTCATTAAAACAAGGGCAAACATCATAAACTGATTTCCTTGAAAATATATCAGATCTACAGAACAGACACTTCCTACAACTTCATTAAACTGGTTACATATTTATACTGCAGTTGAACAGACATTAGTAACATTCTTGACACGTGGACTAAGACAAACACTTTTTATAGTATATCTATCCTAACAATAAATATCTTAATAACTTTCACATGTATATATAGCTTTAGGTACAGGTAAAAAGAGAACTATGCATTTCGTTTGAAGACATTTTGATATTATTCAGTGATAGAAACTAACTGTTTTAGTCCACTATTCCTTAGAATGATAACATATAGCAAACCCCTTAATAATGGCAAATTTCTACAAGTCCTTATGATACCTTAACTATTGGCCAGTTTGGCAAGGACTATAGGACTAGTGCCAATTTCTAACGCTGTTATTTGGCAATAAAATAAACAATTAACATTACAAAATTTCAGTGAAACATTTTTGCTGAACACAGCAGTAATTTATTTAATAACTTCTAGCAACTTTTCAATTTCTAATCATCATTCAAAAGTGGCTTCCACAGGAGATTCCTCTTGGGTGAGATATCTCTACAAGGAAATTGCATAACAATGCTTTGTGAACCACTGTGATGGCATCAGTCAGCATGACATCACACTCAAATGACATCAGTAATCTCTCTGCCACTGATGCTGGCCAGCTGTACTGTTTACTCACAAGCCATAGAGGTGAGATTCTCCATGTGTTCTCTTATCAGTTTCCATTCCTCATCTTTAGGGAGTCCATTAATATGGTGAAATAATAGGATTTCAACTGGAAACGGGACTTGTGTAGAATTGTGACATGAACAAAATAAATTTCTAACAGCACAGGACAATTATTACCTGGACATCTTCAACATTGTGTACTGTCCTACACCTAACATTTCTTGCAAACAACTTGCTCCTCGTCCACAATGAGTATTAAATAACAGAGTCATTAGTATTAATCTTGCTCCACAAGAGAGGATCTGTGTCATGCTGTGGCAGCCTCAACAACAGACTACTAAAAAATTGATAAGTTCAAAACAGTGCTCAGTGTCTTATCTAGGGGCTTGATTCCTACACACATCAACAGTATGCAGAGGGGATACGAGCCATACTACTCCAGCAGATTTAACTGACACAAAGTTCATAAACTTGAGACATCTATTTAAAACAAAGGTTGAAAAACCTGTATTACATGTAAAAAGAGAGTACTCTACAGTTCATTTTCATACCTTGCAACACGCCCTCCTTGTGTCCAGCTGACAAGATACTATTACCCAGGCAGTATGGCACTGAATCGATGCCTGGTGACAGATCCCTCCTTAGGAGGGTCCTAATGGCTTTAACGGATTTAACAGGGATAAGAATTCTTTTAAATCTGATGGCTTCCCCCATAAACACCCCCAAATTATGGACCACGTTCAATTGTAAAGAAGTTTCAGCTGAAAAGGTAAATATCCATTCTCATCCCCGTGATGAGTAAAAGACAACTCAAACACATCAGATATCCTAGAGATTCAAAAGAACACAGGCTGAAATAATGCTTTGTATTGAATATAAATGTCTGCTCATCATCATAACTGAATGTTTTAAACTGTGCTGTTGTTGAGATGGCATCAGTTGAAGCTGGTTGGTAAAATGCAAATTCCATGAAAAACAACCCTGAAAGACTATTGCTGTGTTCAGCCATTTACTGTCCAAAAATGATTTCAAAACCAATTCACGTCCATTTTTATAATTGCTACTCCCTTTTACCTGTAGGGTCTAAATCTGGTAGGTATGAACTATAACGCCCATCCACGTCAACAGGAACAAGGTGAGCTACACACAATACAGCAGAACATTAAGGCCTATGTTGGTCTAAGTGTTGGGTTAAAATGTCCCAGTCTCAATAATAAATATGGATGCCAGGATTTCAACACATTGCAGCCCTCATGAGGACTAGGCTATCTAACAGTGTTAAAAAATAAAAGAGTGTCACAGGTCTTTCAGATTATCTTAATCCGAGGTACCTATTAGGGTTATGATAAGGAGCCTTGACTTCAATCCATCATTGAACACTGCTTAACATTGCTGATATTGTCAGGAAAGAGAAATGTGCCCAGTTGTCTCCCTTGATGGATCATCAGGTGAGGATCTATATTATACTATGCAGACATGTGACCTAATCCCCTTCCCTGGGATTCCACAAGGGCGACGTGGCATCCAATGGATCTAATCGGATTCCCCTGCCGGGAGTGATGGATGGACAGACAGCTGTTGGACACAACTAGTATGTTGGACGGGAACAGCTGGGAGATGCCAGCCAACCGGTGAGTTAGCGAGTGTGAGAACAGTAAGAGCACTTCAACATGAAGAACATGGACGGATACGAACACAAAGCAGGAATGATATGGGTCAGCTGGACTGTTTCCATGGCAACCAGTATCACAAATGATAAAATTACTAAAAGAAAAAGAAGATCTGATAACATTCACGCAATGCACCATCACCTTGCACACACCAGTAGCTCCTATTCAAAGACTGAAGTACAATGTGAATTTATTGACCAACTCTGTGACAATAGGCACTGATCTAAAGCGGGTGCTTTCTGGTAGTTCAAGGAATGATAGAATCAAATTGCAGAGATGAATAAAATGATGCTCAAATTTGTTTCTGCAACAAACATTATTTACACTGTACGTAGAACCTGCCCCATATTATGCACAGATCATGTATGATAACTATCCTTCCTTCCTGTTATCAAGTATAAAACACCCCACCCATTTAGCAGCATCAGCATCTGATATTAGGATGTAACAATAAATATGTATCAGATATACAAATACCCATCACTTAAACGGAATGAACGGTAACATGTAACTGATAGTTGAAACTTTGCAAGTAGAGACTGAAATTGGTCCATATGAGTTTGACATAAAGGTACAATATTTCAACAACCATCTGCTTTGGAGAATGTAAATGACTCATCCATTCTTTAAACCCTCTGCCGAAAATAGTCCTCCCTTTAGAATGCCAAAGCATTGAATCGACTTCACTGAGGTCATCTGCACATTCAGTAATACACTGTGTGCAATCTCACAAGAAAAGCATGTTCATAAACTAACGTGATATTTAACCGTCTTATAGTCATATAAAAAAAGTAAAATATTTTTCTAAAATGCTTATTTATGAGTGAGCGGACGACGGCTTGGACGGTTATGTCTATCGATGATACACTGCAATTATAAAAAGCCCTGTCATAGAAGAATCAGCTACAGTCCATGATAACAATTTGATTTTCTTGCAATTTGATATTCATCTTGCCATGTGTTTTATGACCTTGACATGTCATTGCCAGGGTAACTTAAGATGACTAAAGATGGAAAGACTCCCCCCTCCCCTCAGTTGACCCCAACTGTGTACAGAATAATGTATGATTGTCCTAGATGACAGCTGTCTTCATTTCTTCTTCACCGTCTTCATCACCCACTCCATCCCATCCTGAAACACCAAAACAGACATCAGATATCTGGTGTAACGTATATATGGTGTATATCTGTGTGTATCTGTTATATATATATATATATTTGTTTGTTTGTTGTTTAATGCTGCACGGAGCAATATTCCAGCTATATGATCGTGGTTTGTAAATAATCGAGTCTGGACCAGACAATCCAGTGATTGACATCATGAGCATCGATCCACACAATTGGGGTTCAATGACATGCATCAATCAAGTCAGAGAGCCTGACCACCGGATCCCGTTTGTCGCCTCTCATGACAAGCATCATTGTATATATGTCAAATAGAATGTGTATCATTCTATCCATGGAATGTATCACAGTGTATCATTGCCTTTCTGTCATCATGGTTATATAACTAATGTGGATCATTGTATATTGCCTTGGTTTGGAGACGAGTTTGAATCATAGAGAATTTCATATTTTTTTCTTCTGAATATCATTTGAATATGGGCCATATCTTATGCGTATTATTTAAACATACAGTTATCTGTATTGTTTATGATTGTACATGTCCACAGAACTATGACTACTCCCATACCTTAACCCCTTCCCCCGTGACTGCTGAGCAGGCCTGGAGCTGCCACTTCCTGTCTCGTACTACTTCGAGACGCAGTCCTTCGGCGATGTCACTAACCGAGGTGGCAGTCACCAGATCTTGTTTGTTGGCGAACACGATAAGGGGGACACCGGCGAGCTTCTCTTCTTCCAATAGCTCCTTCAGTTCCTGGAATTGTCACCCATATGTTTCTAGCACATTCATCAGGGATATGTAAACATCAAGTTTGTCACTTATTTTTGTCTTCTATGTTGTCAATGAGCATGATGAGTGTGATTAGAGACTATGTAAACTTTAAAACATCAAATGTTATCAAATATGTTAATCAAATTTATAGTGTTGTAGGTCAGAAAACAGTACCAGGCTAATTCTAGACTAGTCATGGGACTTTTAACTTCCCTAAAGATTTGAATGGTAATCAAACTTCCACAACTGTGTTCATAGATATCATAGATGATGAAATCTTCTCCTTCAGTCATAGGAAAACTTAATCATCCCAGGATGTATTCCAGGACAAAGTTCTTTAAATCACATGACATATTTTGCTGACCGTAAAAATCGAAAATTCAGAAGGAAAATAATCAAAAGATAAGGAAGGGTTTTTTACACCAACGACAGCAAAGATCGCTTTGACAATAAAAATGACAATGATATTATATATTTATAATATTTATTAGACCCAAAACAGGCCAAATCAAACCTTAAGATGATTACAAAAGTCCTGCATAATGCTTTCTGATTTTACTCAACCTACTGCCAAAATGTTTCACAAGTAAATTCTGTAGGATGTGGAACTGGCGATCAGGTTAACCGGGGGGAAAAAAACCAGGAAAGACCAAGGTGGACTTGTCAGTAGGACACGCTGGTCGAAACTGACTCTAGCAACATCAAGTGTGTGGAGTTTGCTGACTCTAGCCACTATGGCAAGGGCCAGGAGGAAGCAGGTCTTGATGGTGAGGTCCTCAAAGGAGGTTCATAGGGCGCTTGACGTAAGTCCCATACACTGATACTGAGGTCCCAAGCTGGATGACGGAACTTCTTCTGGTCGTCCCAAATGATGAAGACGATGGTGAAGAGTTCTGGCACTGAGGCCAGGCAGGTACCTCGGGCAATCTTCAAATAGGGAGTTGAGGGCCACGAGGTAAGTAGCAATGGTGGCACCAGCAAGGTGACATTTCTGCTACAGAAACAGCACAAAGTCAGCCACCTGGGCAACAGTAGCATCAACCTGAGTGATGTGGCGGGGTGTGCAAAAGGCGTGAAATGACCCCCATTTGTCATTGTCAAATGGAAGTCCGGGATATAGCCTCCACTGTAAAAGCCGAGAAACCCTCCGCCCATCTGGAGCACTGGTGACAAGCCAGATGTGAAGATTGTTGACATCTGGCATCTTCCCGAGGCAAGTGAGTTAACTGACTATAAAAGTCCTGTTTCCACCCTTGCCGAACTAGGCTGGTATTAATGAGTTATATTTTGGCTGGACTAATGAGTCTATGCATAGTCCAATCAAAATCGCGCACCGAAATCGAAATCCAGTTCGTAAAGTGTCATGTAGATTTCGGTCGACTGCAGGATTTGCAAAGCATGTGCACCACTAACTCATTGTCAACAGATATTTTCTAAATCTTTTCATGCTTTTAATCAAGGTGCTCACGTGATTTGATGCACTTTGCGATGTAAGATTCGTTTTATCACAATATAGATCTTGATTATCAATCAGATCGTCTTGACTGGGCGCCACCGTTTTGTTTGAAGCAAATGCAAGTGATACGAGAGGTTGAATCTGATTGGTCAATAGGAGAGGCATAGAAAGGACATAACTCGTAATAGCCACTGGTGGCGCTACGATCGAGCCAAGGAATTCCAGCCTAGTTCGGCAAGGGTGGAAACTGGACTTTTAAAGTCAGTTAACTCTCTTGCCTCGGGAAGATAGACATCTGGGGAGGGATGAGGCTGTCTGGTGTGTGGGTTGAGGAGGAGGTTCGACCAAGACGGTAACTGCAAGACTGGGTTCTCCAGCGAGCATGGAGGAGACTGGGATTCCACACTCTGCCTGACTAAGCACAACCAAAGGCAGTCTCTGATGCCTGGTCTGGGCCACATTACGAACGACTTGAGGAAGGAAAACCATATGCGCTTTGGCCTACCCAGGATATGGGAAGGCTATCTCTCTCTCCCAGGCTGTTGGGTCTGAAACTGGGGAGACATACACTGTTAGTTGTTGAATGCTCCCTGTGGCAAACAGATCGATGTTGGGAGTGCCAAGCTGGTGCACAAGAAATGGAAAGCCTCTGGATGAAGCATCCACTCTGTGAGTTATGGGTCTGCTCTAGCAGAGATGCTGACTAGGTTGATCCCTGCTTGTTGATGTAGAAGACCACGGAGGGAGACTCATGGAGGAAAGATCCTGTGCAGAGGTCAGAAGACCCAGAAGAGTCAGCCACTGACAGAGATTGAGGGGTTGACACAGGGCTCGCTGGACCTCGGACTGAATGGCTTTGATTCTGGCTAAAGGAACCTCGATCAGCTTACGGTACGGAAGCTAAAGCACTATGTAGCATCAGGTAAGGTAAAACGGAAGTTCTAGCATATCAAGATAACAGCTGTATGAACATTTAGACCAAAAAACACAATGTCTCTTACCAGTGATGTTTCATCAAATCGCTTCTTGTCTGAGCTGTCAATCACATATATCTGCAATTGAAAACAATAAACAATCTAAACTTGACAAACTGGCATACACCAAGGAATGATACCACAATCTGCATACACAAACAGTGTAAGTTAGATGTAAATGTTGATGTATGTCCATAGCTTCATTTATATTATCGCGACCATGCAGTAGTGTTATTAGGTTCTTAATATTGTTGTCTTTCTGCCAGTTTATTTTCTTTCCATAGGCTGGAAGGCTTATTCTCCATGTAGAATTCACTTCAAATCACAACATTCCTGTTATAACTTCATCCATCCCAATCTCAGTTGCATGCTACCTCGTTTTGGGGGATTTATAGTCCTTTCAATATCAGTATTAACCTGGAATGGACTACAGGTCCCTACAAGTAGTGGTAGGAAGCCACAGCAAGGATGGTCCGGGTCCACGACCCCAGGACTTACACATTCCCGGGATAATCCTGGGTTCATGATCCAGGACGAATAACATATCCCACGAGACTGTCCAGGTCCACGACCCAGGGCAACACGTCTCGATGCATTGGGTCCTACTACTGCTTCCTGGTTTGTGACCTCTGCACGGTTCACGACAACTGAATTACTATGCAACAGAGTCATCTCCCTAGCACTAATGTATTTCCTGTTAATAAATATTTATATGTATTATCCTCTTGTGTTGTTGCAGCAAAAACGCTGCTTTGAACAGTATTCCAGTTTTATAATGGCATGTCAGCTTAATTTGGTAAAGCTCGAACTGATGCTGGTTTCAGATGTTTATCACTTTGGTGGGTATGGTGCTGACAAACCGAGAAACACAACTGAACCAGGATTCAAACCCACAATCATATAACTTAGGATCCATGTCCTCAATACCTTTCAACCACAGACAATAGCTAGACAAAAGCTCACCAATATATCTGTGTTCTCGAAGTAATTCCTCCAGTATGGCCTGATCTTCCTCTGCCCTCCGATGTCCCACACGTTCAGCTTGCAACCACCCGACTGCACAGACTTGATGTTGAATCCCTGCCAGAAAGAGTAGATATGAACTGATGTCTGTGTGTTAACTCATTTTCAGCAATTAAGTTGATATATGTATGAGTAAAGTGCAAGTGATTCAATGGCATTTATTGGTTGGTCAAGAAATTATTTTTGCAATTGTCATGTTCGTATATCCATGAAATGGACAAAAATAGGCTACTCTTTGTTGTTTAACGCCGCACTCAGAAATATTGCAGCCTGTAAATACTGGTCATCATTTCTTGACCAGAAAACCCAGATACTGACAGCATGAGTATTGACCTCCTACCATCAGCATGATCAGAGTATGGCAGCATGAAAAACAGCAAGTCACAGGGCCTGTATTCAGTCAGTTCTTGAGACACACACAATTACACATATATCATATAATATGACATACATCATGTATATTTGAGGTTTGTTTGTTGTTTAATGCCACACTCACAATATTCCAGCTATATGACAGTCTGAACCAGACAATCCAGTGATTTGAGGTACCTGCGTTGGTGTTGTATGGGATACATCTTCAGATGCCAGTTTCTTCAATAGAGTTGTCTTGCCAGCATTATCCAGTCCCAATAACAGGATTCTTAGTTCCTTGTCGGCAGTTGACTTCAGCTTTCTCAACAGTGCAAGTAGACCCTGCAGGAAGCACACATGCATCTGTTAGCATTTTGGATGTTTATATTTGTACATACATTTGTATGGTCGAACACATCTAGGAATTCATGCTGTCAGCATGGTCACTTCTTTTGGCATTAAAACAATCAAACGTCACAATGGCTAGGCAAGTAAGTTAATCACTCATTTTGGTACTATCACATCAATGATATGATCATGATGATGATAGAGATGTTTCTTGTCCTTGCATGAATAGTCAACACACACAACAACTATTCCACATATTTCTTACATGACCATGATGACAGTCAGCACTACCACAGTAAAATATATCACTATGACCTGTCAATATGGTGTATATCTGAGTAATAAAAACAGTTTTGGTTAACAAAGAGGATTTATGAAACTACTTTTATGCTAAATTTAAAAAAAACAACTAAAAATAGTGAAGTTTTGTAATAAACTTTACTGGCTAGCGACCAGTTATCAATGAGGACCAATTATCAGCAACTCCCAGTTACAGCACACAGCATCTCATTTAATTTTGCTCAATTTCATTAGAAGAGAGGAATATTTATCCAAAAAATGAAAAAACAATCCATATAATTACCTTGCTCAAATACAACTTTAGAAGTGACATGCAGGTGGTGTCACATGACTAAATTATGTGTACAGAAAAATCCAATAACACGATGATGCACGTTCAGTTCTGTCATTGCTTACTATCTGTCTGTCACTTCTTCCCCAAAATTCAATTCTTAAACCTATTCGAGCTATTTTTCCAAAAAAACATAACCCTATATGCATTTGATCACGTGGCATGTGCTGTTTAGATGATGGCGATAACTGATACAGTTGGTAGACGAGAAATTTCTATTGCCACTGTTTTCCCTGTCGTCGCATTATAACAGAAATCTCAAGATTTTTTCCACTGACAGAAATATACACATTTGCTCATAGTTTCACACAAATCAAAGTTATTTGCACAGTTAACTTTGTACATGGAAAATTTCAGAAATAATATGAAAGAAATGTGATAACTGGTCCATGACCAGTACATATTCCGAACAGAATAGATCAAAGATATTTTAGAATAGAAACTTGGCAGGTAGCAAGGTAAAGAAATGAAACTGTAATTGCTTTGAACACACAATTGTGTGCAATCTTTGGACATTAACATGATTAATGAAAAGAGTAAATACGTTTGTAGAAGCTATTTGTCCAAAGGCAAACGTTTAGCATAGCAACTGATCTAATCACATAGTCTCCCAGCTGAAATATTGAAAATTAGTGGTTGTCACTGACGTATTGTATTCCGATTTGAGACTACTAAAGCAGTAATGATTAATCATAATGTAGAGATTATATTATTGAAAAGATGTCAGTGATTATTTGGACCAGTTATTTTCTTCAAAGAACATAGGCAGGTATGATTCAATAAGCTACATAGATCGCCTCTATTATCATAAACTGGCATGCCAGGTGAACATCTTCACATTAACAGGTAAAATGTCCCTCAAAACGTTTAACTAAGGAAACAATATACATGTACACATAAACAATATGTAGGTATACTTCTACTGTTTCAATAAATGCAAATACGAAAAAAAAAATATGTAAATACTAATGTATTAAATCGAAAAATCCTTACCATTTTCGATGGTTTATCTTTGTTCGGGGTAACTACGTGTGACGTCAGGACTTTCTGCGTATTCCTTTTTTCGGCCTTTCCATTAGCAAGAGTTTGGGAAGGGGGATAACTCTCATCTTTGAAGTGAAACGTGAGTGCAGCCAGTAAAATAATAACACTGTCCCTCTTTAACTTAGTTAATGAATTACAACGGCAAACACAACAGAAAAAATTTCACCTGTTTGCAAACGTTTATCACATTATTTACTTAGCTGTTTACAATACACGATGCTATATGCGTTTAGCCTAATCATGGTCTAATGAACATGTGCACTGACGATGTCTCGCTCTTGTGTATATGAAAACATACTTTGCAGATTTTAACTGGATACAGCAGACAGGTGTAGATCTTTATATATAAGTGCATAGAACTTAAGTTAGGTGGTGTCACGATGTCTTCAGTAATATAACAGTAACTAGTACGTGTGGTTCGTGACAGCTATAGAGATTCCGTGAAGGACACAGAGCCAGAGGCCTAGAGGTGACAGTATATTTATTTAGGTATCTCTAAGGGTGGGTCTCAGATCAGTTCTGTACACCATTGTAAACAGGAGTGAAGCAGGGCGTGGAGTCATCCTACAGATGACATCCTTACCTTGTCAGCTTGCTGACGGGGTTAACCTCTTTGGTCATGTGGACAAGGCATCCGACCTCTGCTCAGAAGGTCCGTAGTTTGAACCCCATCACGGGACTCGGAAATTTTATGGCCGCTACATTGGCGCCCAACGTGGGGCTGAGCACGTTCATATTAAATTTGAGCAAAATAAGCCTTAGTACCCTACTATGCGGCCCGGGACGTGCCTTCTGTATGTAGCAGGGCGTGGAGTCATCCTACAGATGACATCCTTACCTTTACCTCAGCTTGCTGACGGGGTTAACCTCTTTGGTCATGTTGACAAGGCCTCCGACCTCGGATCCAAAGGTCCGTGGTTCGAATCCCATCACTGGACTGAAGGAGCATAAAATATTTTGGTATCATTTCCAACAATTTGAGTGGCAGATAAGGGAAGCATATATTTCATAATGCAGCTTTCCAATCAGTCCATTATCAAGGACAATGAAGGATATTTAAAGTGTTCTAATTATTATTCCCACAAGTTGTAATGATAAATGTCCTTGCGAAGACGATGTGAGGTATGAGAAGGTTAACCGTCACATGACCATCTCATCCTTGTCTTTGCAGGATCAGACTCTGCCATGTTGGGGAGAATTGACCTGGATGCTCCACGATGGAATCAGGGGACATTCCTCGGACGACTTAAGTACTTCTTCTGGGTCACTGACCCACGACTGACCATGCTCCCAACACGCCAGTTTCATGAGGCCAAGACTCTACTAGAGCAGTACAGGTGAGGCTTGTATCATGTGTACCCGTATGAAAGCACGCCTCAACCTGTATTCCAGATTTTTTAGCATACCTTGTTTTGGGATCACTGCAGATATCACTGGGACAAAGTTTGTTTGTTTGCTTGTTTGTGGTTTAACGCTGGGCTTAGAAATATTCAAGCTATATGACTGTGGTCTATAAATAATCATGTCTGGAAAAGATAGCCCAGTGATTGTGATCATGAGCTTCGATCTTCGCAATTGGGTTTTCATGACATGCATCAACCAAGTTTGCAAGTATGACCACCAGATCCTGTTTGTCACCTCTAAGACAAGCATGGGTTGCTGAAGACCAATTGTAACCCGGATCTTAACGGGTGTGGTACATTGTCAGTATACCACAGGTCTTGGTCCAGCTGTCCAATCATCCTTCCTTTACAAGGAACGTATTGCTCTTTATCTCCTAATCTGCGGACTTTGTATATCATTGTTACAAAACATTTTCCAGGCTACAAAAGTTGTTTTTTTATTTTGGATGAATAAACATTTTCAACATGGTTGTCGCAACAGAAAAGTTTAGAAAAGAAATTCTGTTCTTGTTATCCAAGATGAGGGCACCACAATTTTTTGAGAGAGTTGCCTCCCTTATCTGTGTCAGCATTCGCTGGGCTTGGGTTCAAATCCCAAATTGACCAATATCATGAGGCTGGGTTTGTCATGCTCTTAGGTCAATGGTGGCCTTTAGACATGCCTGGAACCAGTGAACATGGGTTCTAGTCTTAGATTCAACCTGATTCTGATTCTAGGTTTGTCAGCACCAAACCCAAGCTGAGAGTTTTCAACAAAATGGTAGACGTTTGAGACCTGCATCACTCCTGGCTTTCCTGCCACATTAAAAATACTGTCAAAAGAGGTATTAAAGGGCATGTGAAGTCACTATAGCAACTATGCTACACACGTAACAGATGCTATATTTGGAATAACACTTTCTTAGTAAAGTACAGATTCTCGTACTTTTTTTTATACTTGGCATTGTGTATTCATATGCTACACACATTCAACAATGTATGCAATGTGATTATTTTGGTTGGATTAACAGTAATAACTGGAACAGTATACCGTATTTGACGTAATAAGTGCCCAAGGCAATATTTGCTAATATATTGGCTAGTGAAAATCCCAGTTAGCACCCCTTCCGATTGATCAATGTACACAAGACTTATTTATTCGTGTATAATATGTGTGTTATATGCATCCTTAATTATGGGAAATTAAATTCTGGAAAAAAATATCTGTCGTATATATATAAACATTTCAGGCTGTCAGCATAAACCACGAAATTTACGATCTTTCAACTCTGTTGTTTTTAACCAAAATAATATTCTATTTCTAATTTTGAGTGTGCCCTGGGCACTTATTATGTTGAATACTGTATGTATAATGGCTAAGAATCACAAGATAGATAAAAGTGGCAAACATTGATCAGCCAAGGAAAACAGTTGTCACCTCTACACTGGCAGCTTTACGCCATATCCTCAAATACTTTTTGAGGGGAAGCCGATTACGGAGCGTGTGATTTCAGCACTTTCACTTGGACATTTAAATACTATTTACAAAATTATGAATTTTGCTCTCAACGAAATTGACTAGATGTACCTAGGAAATAGTGATATTCACAACAAAATCACAATCATTCTTTTTCATTTTACTTGCCCTTTAAAACCATCTCACTCATTCACTAATTATAGAATTGTCTGGGTCTGTTAATAGCAGATTGTCTATTGTATAGCTAGGGAGTTCTGTGATGTATCACTCCACAATTCTCGCCAGCTCACTTCAATGTTGTCTGTAGGCGGGGTGAGGAACCACCCAACACATCCCCCACCAGCGTCCGCCAAGCCCAGCAGCTGTATCTCTCTGCCTTCCACCCCGACTCCGGGGACCTGCAGAACGTGATTGGTCGGATGTCCTTCCAAGTCCCGGGTGGCATGATCCTCATCGGAGCCATGATAACCTTCTACAAGTAGGTGGGATATACACTGGTAACATTCTACAAGTAGGTGGGATATACACCGGTAACATTGTACAAGTAGGTGGGATATACACCGGTAACATTGTACAAGTAGGTGGGATATACACTGGTAACATTGTACAAGTAGGTGGGATATACACTGGTAACATTCAACAAGTAGGTGGGATATATACTGGTAACATTCTACAAGTAGGTGGGATATACACTGGTAACATTCTACAAGTAGGTGGGATATATACTGGTAACATTCTACAAGTAGCATGAGTAGGTGGGATATACACTGGTAACATTCTACAAGTAGGTGGGATATACACTGGTAACATTCTACAAGTAGGTGGGATATACACTGGTAACATTCTACAAGTAGGTGGGATATACATGGTAACATTCTACAAGTAGGTGGGATATACACTGGTAACATTCTACAAGTAGGTGGGATATACACTGGTAACATTCTACAAGTAGCATGAGTAGGTGGGATATATACTGGTAACATTCTACAAGTAGGTGGGATATACACTGGCAGCATTCTACAAGTAGGTGGGATATACACCGGTAACATTGTACAAGTAGGTGGGATATACACCGGTAACATTCTACAAGTAGGTGGGATATACACCGGTAACATTGTACAAGTAGGTGGGATATACACCAGTAACATTGTACAAGTAGGTGGGATATACACTGGTAACATTGTACAAGTAGGTGGGATATACACTGGTAACATTCTACAAGTAGGTGGGATATACACCGGTAACATTGTACAAGTAGGTGGGATATACACTGGTAACATTCTACAAGTAGGTGGGATATACACCGGTAACATTGTACAAGTAGGTGGGATATACACTGGTAACATTCTACAAGTAGGTGGGATATACACTAGTAACATTGTACAAGTAGGTGGGATATACACCGGTAACATTCTACAAGTAGGTGGGATATACACTGGTAACATTGTACAAGTAGGTGGGATATACACTGGTAACATTCTACAAGTAGGTGGGATATACACCGGTAACATTGTACAAGTAGGTGGGATATACACTGGTAACATTCTACAAGTAGGTGGGATATACACCGGTAACATTGTACAAGTAGGTGGGATATACACTGGTAACATTCTACAAGTAGGTGGGATATACACCGGTAACATTGTACAAGTAGGTGGGATATACACTGGTAACATTCTACAAGTAGGTGGGATATACACCGGTAACATTGTACAAGTAGGTGGGATATACACCGGTAACATTCTACAAGTAGGTGGGATATACACTGGTAACATTCTACAAGTAGGTGGGATATATACCGGTAACATTCTACAAGTAGGTGGGATATACACCGGTAACATTCTACAAGTAGGTGGGATATACACCGGTAACATTGTACAAGTAGGTGGGATATACACTGGTAACATTCTACAAGTAGGTGGGATATACACTGGTAACATTCTACAAGTAGGTGGGATATACACTGGTAACATTCTACAAGTAGGTGGGATATACACCGGTAACATTCTACAAGTAGGTGGGATATACACTGGTAACATTCTACAAGTAGGTGGGATATACACTGGTAACATTCTACAAGTAGCATGAGTAGGTGGGATATACACTGGTAACATTCTACAAGTAGGTGGGATATACACTGGTAACATTGTACAAGTAGGTGGGATATACACCGGTAACATTCTACAAGTAGGTGGGATATACACTGGTTACATTCTACAAGTAGGTGGGATATACACCGGTAACATTGTACAAGTAGGTGGGATATACACTAGTAACATTCTACAAGTAGGTGGGATATACACCGGTAACATTCTACAAGTAGGTGGGATATACACTGGTAACATTCTACAAGTAGGTGGGATATACACTGGTAACATTCTACAAGTAGGTGGTATATACACTGGTAACATTGTACAAGTAGGTGGGATATACACAGGTAACATTCTACAAGTAGGTGGGATATACACTGATAACATTCTACAAGTAGGTGGGATATACACCGGTAATATTCTACAAGTAGGAGGGATATACACTGGTAACATTCTACAAGTAGGTGGGATATACACTGGTAACATTCTACAAGTAGGTGGGCTATACACTGGTAACATTCTACAAGTAGGTGGGATATACACTGGTAACATTCTACAAGTAGGTGGGCTATACACTGGTAACATTCTACAAGTAGGTGGGATATACACTGGTAACATTCTACAAGTAGGTGGGATATACACTGGTATTATTCTACAAGTAGGTGGGATATACACTGGTAACATTCTACAAGTAGGTGGGATATACACTGGTAACATTCTACAAGTAGGTGGGATATACACTGGTAACATTCTACAAGTAGGTGGGATATACACTGGTATTATTCTACAAGTAGGTGGGATATACACTGGTAACATTGTACAAGTAGGTGGGTACACACTGGTAACATTCTACGAGTAGATAACTTCCTATCATTCTTGTCCAGGTCAAACACTGCAGTGGTATTTTGGCAGTGGGCCAACCAGTCCTTCAATGCCCTTGTCAACTACACCAACCGCAACGCCTCGTTCTAATCGTGACAGATTAATCACTCGTGTGTAGATTTTTCGGTAACAACCGAACACAGTGGTTAATCCTTTTTCTCCCATAACAATATGCCATAAAAAGTCGAGCTCGTAGTTGAAGATTTCCCGTGTTTAGTAACCACTTGGGATTCCCCCCAGCCTCGTTTTCGAATATGCTCAGTAAGACAACTGTACCATAAACAGGTAAAAAGGATCTAGCGAAGACAACTCACACGAATTTTCCGTGACAGGCAAGCCACTTGTTAGCATTCATGTTATGTTTTTTGTTAACTATTAAAAGCTGATGGGGGTAACGTTTTGAGAATTAGTAATGTGATTTGATATTTGTTAATGGTTTTGGATTTCTCGGCCCATAACTTTATTTGCATTCGTCTCGCCGTGACTATCATTCTCAATGCGCAACACTAAATAGGCCCACATTTTTAGTGTTTGTAAATACGTTATTCATTTATTTGTTCGCTAGAAACAAATGTTATAAACCCAATTAAGAGGAAATTAAATATTTTCTTATATATTGTGAACTATTGTTAACGAAAAACAAGTGCCCAAAGGAACTGTGAGCAGGATTGATCAGGCAAGATTCTATGATTACCAACTCAGGCAACTGATCAGCTGATTACGTCTTCTCAAATCCTTCAATCGATTGTAATATTTTTGGACGAATTTACCTCTTTAATACTAGTTTTACAGTGAATAATTTAATGTGTAAAATGATGAATATTTCATGTAATCTTTTTTAAAATTATTTTTGTTCCTGAACATTGTGAGCCCATGTGTTTTTATGATATAAAAAAAACTTTTTCAGTGGACAGTTTTTCTTTTGAACATAATATTGAACATCATGACACCAAATGTTACAAAATGAGTCATCTAATTTCCCCATATTTGTGAATGACAAGAAACAATGTGAATTTGACAAGCACAATAATTTTTTGTGTGTGAAACATAATTACATAGGGTAGTATGTAAACAATAAATTATCATTTCAGTAGTTCTACAAATATTGGCATTTTAATACCCTTGTAATTTTACATTGTAATTTTACTGCAACAGTTACCTCCAAACTTTATTCTTTTGTTATTTTATCAGATTAGAAGTTAAGACTTACTGATAAGCTAATTTAAAATTAACATGTTCTTAAAAATTGTTTTTATCTTCATGAAAACAAGACATAATAATAAATATGTATTTTAGTGACCTGTTCATATGTGATTTTTTTTGGCAAAAAGTATTAAAATTTAAATTAGATATGCTATTGTAAAGAAATGGGGTTTATGGTAAAATGTAATAAGAGGACCTCTTGTTGGTCATTTCTTCATCACCCATAAATTTCAGTTTTTCTTTACTTACCATGTTCTGAAAATTTACACATTAGAATAATTTAAGGTCTCTGATTAAAATAGCGACACAACTTTCCACTCCCAGGCAGCCAATTAGATTATGTGAAAAAAATAAACCACTGTAAACCTTGTAATAGGAGAATAATAAATAAAAATACATTTCTTATTTTGTCATATGACCAGTTTATCATCCCAAGAAATGCTAAATAATTATCATTAAAATTAAGCTAGCTATGCATATTGGGACTCTTTATCTGCTATGATAATATAACAATTGCATTTCTAAAGAAGTGGGTTTTTTCAGTAATCATGGAAATAATAAATCTTTGGTTTAAAGAATATACTTGAGACAAACCTAATTCTACATGTCTTAATACTCTGTATTGTCTGTAAATTCTGAAAATAATTGACTGTGATATTGAGTTTCTACCTAAAACTAATAATAAGAAATTAATTTTGAGATTATTTCATCCTATCTAAAATACACAATATATTTTAAGATGCATAAATGTACATCATTGTTGAAAAAAAAAGAATATTGCTTTTAAAAAAAATACTTGAAAAGGTTGATTGGTGCCCACCATCTTTATCTTCATCATTTTGTCTGCTCCCTATAATAAATCAAAATAGTTAAGAAAAAATATAAATACATATATTACTTTCTGGAGTTTTAGATTTAGGTATGACTTAATATATTCAAGTTTTAACAGGGTAATGATCTTTTTTCATAATGAGTTTCTTAATTGTCCTGAGATAGTATGTTTAAATAATTGAAGTCTTCATGTTTAAAAAATACCAAATAATTATAGGCCAAAATACATTAATTATATTGATCTGGGTAAACTCCACCTGTTGAAAGGGGAAACAACTGCTGTGGTTGAAAAACATCTTGGTCGTGAGATGTACGGTCCGTCCGGCAAAGATTGATCGTTTCCTGCATTAAAATTGAGTATTGCTCTAGATCCAAATTATCTGAGTGTTTATTTTCTTAAAATATGAAATTTAAGTCTCAATTATTTTAATAGATCTAGATCAACACTTTGTTGTAACCTGGCCGAAATTTATGTGGTTGACAGTTGTTGTTTTTTAAAAATACCCAACAATATGGTTTGTTTCACTATTTCATCGGTATTTTTACATGAATTAATTAACTGTTTCATGAGCTTTGTTATTAGCCTTGAAAACGCCCAGTAAAGAATGTACCGAAGTTGCTCCCCTGGTCCCGTGATATCGATGCGGTATCTCGCTTCGGTTACCGTTTTCTCATTCTGCAACTGAATCTGGTACATTGGGAAGCCGAAATTCTCTGATATATCTCCACATATCACACCCCTTTTTCCCCCACAAACTGTCTCTCCGTCATCAACTTTCGGCAATGGAAACATTGTCACTACGGTAATGTTTTGCCAGCTGGGGATTTCCTGTACTAGACGACCTCGGGTATCCCCGATCCGAAAATAGTGCCGTCAATTATTTTTAGCCAGCCAATCAAAACACGATGACACAACTCTCCACTCTCAGCCAGCCAATCAGATTGGGTGAAAAAAAATAAACCACTGCGAATAAACCACTGCTGGCGATTGAAGATCAAGCCCTGTTATGGGAGAAACACTGGTAACATTGTACAAGTAGGTGGGTACACACTGGTAACATTCTACAAGTAGGTGGGATATACACTGGTAACATTGTACAAGTAGGTGGGATATACACTGGTAACATTGTACAAGTAGGTGGGTACACACTGGTAACATTCTACAAGTAGGTGGGATATACACTGGTAACATTGTACAAGTAGGTGGGATATACACTGGTAACATTGTACAAGTAGGTGGGTACACACTGGTAACATTCTACGAGTAGATAACTTCCTATCATTCTTGTCCAGGTCAAACACTGCAGTGGTATTTTGGCAGTGGGCCAACCAGTCCTTCAACGCCCTTGTCAACTACACCAACCGCAACGCTGCATCAGACATCTCCACGAAGTGAGTGAACCATGTTCCCTTTTATCTTTTTACTGGAGGTTGAGTCTGTGGGTCTTCAATACCCATGCTTGCCGTAAAAAGGCGACTATGCTTGTCATAAGAGGCGACTAACAGGATCAGGTTGATGGTTGATGCATGTCATTGTTTCCAACTGTGTTGATCAATGTTCATGATGTCAATCAATGGATTGTCTGGTGCAAACTCAATTATTTACAGACCGCCATCATATGCTGAAATATTGCTGAGTGTGGCGTTATATAATAAATGAATAAATAAATAAATAAATAAAATGAATGAATGAATGAATGAATGAATGAATGAATGAATGAATGAATGAATGAATGGATGGATGGATGGATGGATGGATGGATGGATGGATGGATGGGTGGACGGAAGGGCGGACGGACGGACGGACGAACGAACGAATAAATAAATATACACTTGATATGATGTTGGAAGCACAGTGTTTTTTGACACTAGGGTCTAATACTGGCACATAATATAAGGATAAATCTATCGTGAACATATTTAGTGATGAAAATCATAAAATACCTTATGCCATTTGTCTGTAGAAGAATCATTGCAATTTCATCTGTATTGGAGATCAAGTATACAGTGTTGTGGCATGTTTCAGACGTATGGCTGTAGCGTATGTCAGCGCCACATCGTGTGCTCTCGTCACTGCCCTCGGACTCAAGCATGTACTAGCCAAGGTCAGATTCAACAACATTCTTATCTCGTAACCATTACCATCTGGTCCTGTCTGTCTGGCCCAAACCTCAAGCTTCCCTTTCCAGTCTGTCTCTCCCATCAGTCCCACATCATATTGATTCTGTGACAGAACACCTCTTGGGATTCTGGGTTAGAATAGGTCCCCAGCAACCTAAACTTGTTGTACGAGGATCAAACTTGATCATTGGTTCAGCCTGGTGACTTGTTGATTACAGGTCATTGTACCCAGGTGGCGGTAGGGTAGCCTAGTGGTTAAAGCGTTCGCTCGTCACAGTGAAGACCCGGATTCAATTCCCGACATGGGTACAATGTGTGAAGCCCATTTCTGGTGTCCCCCGCCGTGATATTGCTGGAATATTGCTAAAAGCGGCATAACACCAAACTCACTCACTCATCGTACCCCGTCAGCTTGAGATGATGCTCATGATATCAATCACAGGATTGTCTGGTCCATATTTTATTATTCACTAAATGGACTTGGAATATTGCTGACTGCAGCTTTAAACAACAAATAAATAAAAAAAAAGTGAGGAACTTTGCAACAGTTCACACCTTTCTTTTTCCCTTTTTTTTTTCCTTTTTTTAAAGTCATTTTGAAGGATTGATATCATGTACATTTGTCCACCAGCATTGTCAGTGTAAACCTGTACTGTAGATCATCCCGTTTGTGTATATGTTGTATGTATAGCGAGGACGCCCGAACACCTTATGCGGGACACGTATCATTCCCTACACCGCTGAACATGTTGTCTACCATTGAAAATCTGTGTTAGAATTCGTCTCCAGGTTTTCAGGCGACTAATGGGACCTGGTGGCCTGGCCTGCTGACTTTGTCATCTGATCCCAATAGCGTTGATTGATGCTGATGATGTCAATCACTGGATTGTCTGTCCAGAGTCAGTTATTTACAGACCGCCATCATGTAGCTGGAGTATTGCTGAGTGTGGTGTTAACAAACCAACAAAACATGTTGTCCGTGTTGCAGAGAGCGGCGCCGCTGGTGCAGAGGTTTGTTCCCTACGCTGCTGTGGCTGCTGCCAACATGGTCAACATCCCCCTCATGAGGCAGAGGTGTGTGATATGTGTCTGCTCCTGTCTGTTTCACGTCTGCCTCTGTTTCTTTTTGCTGAACTTGTGTCTGTGTCTGCTGCTGAAGCTGTCTACAGGGAGGGTGGGGTAGCCTAGTGGTTTAAGCGTACGCACATCATGCCGAAGACCCGGGTTCCCACATGGGTACAATGTGTGAAGCCCATTTCTGGTGTCCCCCCGCTGTGATATCACTGGAATATTGCTAAAAGTGGCGTATAACCATACTCACGCACTGAATATATATTTACTTACTACTACTGAAGCTGTCTACTTCTGTGTCTTTGCTGAAACTTTGTCTGTTTCTGTGTCTTTGCTGAAACTGTGTCTGTTTCTGTGTCTTTGCTGAAGCTGTGTCTGTTTCTGTCTTTGCTGAAGCTGTGTCTGTTTCTGTGTCTTTGCTGAAACTGTGTCTGTTTCTTTGTCTTTGCTGAAGCTGTGTCTGTTTCTGTGTCTTTGCTGAAGCTGTGTCTGTTTCTGTGTCTTTGCTGAAACTGTGTCTGTTTCTGTCTTTGCTGAAGCTGTGTCTGTTTCTGTGTCTTTGCTGAAACTGTGTCTGTTTCTTTGTCTTTGCTGAAGCTGTGTCTGTTTCTGTGTCTTTGCTGAAACTGTGTCTGTTTCTGTGTCTTTGCTGAAGCTGTGTCTGTTTCTGTGTCTTTGCTGAAGCTGTGTCTGTTTCTGTGTCTTTGCTGAAGCTGTCTGTTTCTGTGTCTTTGCTGAAGCTGTGTCTGTTTCTGTGTCTTTGCTGAAACTGTGTCTGTTTCTGTCTTTGCTGAAACTGTGTCTGTTTCTGTGTCTTTGCTGAAACTGTGTCTGTTTCTTTGTCTTTGCTGAAGCTGTGACTGATTCTGTGTCTTTGCTGTAGCTGTGTCTGTTTCTGTGTCTTTGCTGAAGCTGTGTCTGTTTCTGTGTCTTTGCTGAAACTGTGTCTGTTTCTGTGTCTTTGCTGAAACTGTGTCTGTTTCTGTGTCTTTGCTGAAGCTGTGTCTGTTTCTGTGTCTTTGCTGAAGCTGTGTCTGTTTCTGTGTCTTTGCTGAAACTGTGTCTGTTTCTGTGTCTTTGCTGAAACTGTGTCTGTTTCTGTGTCTTTGCTGAAACTGTGTCTGTTTCTGTGTCTTTGCTGAAGCCGGTCTGTTTCTGTGTCTTTGCTGAAACTGTGTCTGTTTCTGTGTCTTTGCTGAAACTGTGTCTGTTTTTGTCTTTGCTGAAGCTGTGTCTGTTTCTGTGTCTTTGCTGAAACTGTGTCTGTTTCTTTGTCTTTGCTGAAACTGTGTCTGTTTCTGTGTCTTTGCTGAAGCTGTGTCTGTTTCTGTGTCTTTGCTGAAGCTGTGTCTGTTTCTGTGTCTTTGCTGAAACTGTGTCTGTTTCTGTGTCTTTGCTGAAACTGTGTCTGTTTTTGTCTTTGCTGAAGCTGTCTGTTTCTGTGTCTTTGCTGAAACTGTGTCTGTTTCTTTGTCTTTGCTGAAACTGTCTGTTTCTGTGTCTTAGCTGAAATTTTGCTATGTCTTCGCCGTAACTCTATCTGCTTCTGAAACTCGTGTAAGTGTCTGTGTCTTTGCTGAAACTGTGTCTGCTTCTGCTTCTGAATTTATTCTGTGTCTTCTTCTGAAGCTGTCTGATTCTGTGTCTTTGCTGAAACTCTATCTGCTTCTGAAACTCTTGTTAGTTTCTGTGTCTTTGCTGAAACTGTGTCTGCTTCTGCTTTGAATTTATTCTGTGTCTTCTTCTGAAGCTGTCTACTTCTGTGTCTTTGCTGAAACTGTGTCTGTTTCTGTGTCTTTGCTGAAACTGTGTCTGGTTCTGTGTCTTTGCTGAAGCTGTGTCTGGTTCTGTGTCTTTGCTGAAGCTGTGTCTGTTTGTGTGTCTTTACTGAAACTGTCTGTTTGTGTGTCTTTGCTGAAACTGTGTCTGTTTCTTTGTCTTTGCTGTGTCTGTTTCTGTGTCTTTGCTGTAGCTGTCTCTTTTTATGTGTCTTTGCTGTAGCTGTGTCTGTTTCTGTGTCTTTGCTGTAGCTGTGTCTGTTTCTGTGTCTTTGCTGAAACTTTGCTGTGTCTTCGTTGAAACTCTATCTGCTTCTGAAACTCTTGTAAGTTTCTGTGTCTTTGCTGAAGCTGTGTCTGCTTCTGCACTGAACTTATTCTGAGTCTTCTTCTGAAGCTGTCTGATTCTGTGTCTTTGCTGAAACTCTATCTGCTTGTGAACATATTCTTTGTCTTCTTCTGAAGCTGTCTGATTCTGTGTCTTTGGTGAAACTGTGTCTGCTTCTGCTTCTGAATTTATTCTGTGTCTTCTTCTGAAGCTGTCTGATTCTGTGTCTTTGCTGAAACTCTTTCTGCTTCTGAACTTATTCTGTGTCTTCTTCTGAAGCTGTCTGATTCTGTGTCTTTGCTGAAACTGTGTCTGCTTCTGCTTCTGAATTTATTCTGTGTCTTCTTCTGAAGCTGTCTGATTCTGTGTCTTTGCTGAAACTCTATCTGCTTCTGAATTTATTCTGTGTCTTCTTCTGAAGCTGTCTGGTTCTGTGTCTTTGCTGAAACTCTATCTGCTTCTGAACTTATTCTGTGTCTTCTTCTGAAGCTGTCTGATTCTGTGTCTTTGCTGAAACTCTATCTGCTTCTGCTTCTGCTTCTGAAACACCTGTCTTATTCTGTGTCTAATCCTGAAAGTTTGCCTGCCTGTGTAAGTGGTTTCAGTTTCTGATCCACAGGAGTGCCTGCGAAGCCACTGTTTCAATGTGCGTCTGTTCTGCTTCAGTGAACTGGCGGACGGGATCCAGCTGTATGATGAAAACAACAACAAAGTAATGGAATCTAAGGTCAGGACAACTCGAACAGTTTCTATGCCATGTTAATTTTCAATAATTTGTTACCCTGTGTGGACTCCGTGGCATTCCAGTTCCCCTACGCTTGTTGTAAGATCTGACTTAGATAATGGCGTGATCCTGTTAAGTTTTGTCATCCTACGTCCGATCATCTTCCCGAGGAAACTGGACTTTTATAGTCAGTTAACTCTCTTGCCTCGGGAAGATGACCTCCGATCCGGGGTAGAATAGGCCTTCATTAACCCATGCTTGCCGTGAAAGGCGACCATGCTTGTCGTAAGAGGCGACTAACGGGATCGGGTGGTTCATGCATGTCATCGTATCCCATGGATCGATGCTCATGATTTCAATCACTGGATTCTCTGGTCCAGACTAGATTATTTACAGATCGCCATCATATAGCTTTAATATTGATGAGTGCAGCGTTAAGCAAACAAACAAACAAACATCCTACCTCCATGTTGTGAATCGTTGCTCGTGCTATCATCCCCTGGTTTCCTTGGCTCTGACATCATTATTTACAGATTGTCGGGATGTAGCTGAAATAATGCTGACTATGGCATAAAACAACATTCACTCGTTGTTGCTTGTTGGAAGGAACTGTCCTTTCATCTGCAGTGAACATTTACTCTGTGTTTACAGTATGCTGCCTCAAAGGGGATTGGTCAGGTGGTCTTTTCCAGAATCGTCATGGCAACACCAAGCATGAGTAAGTTAGGCTTTAGTTAGGCCAGATTAATTTCATATCTGATCACTATACCACTATACTTTTGGCTCATCTGGTTTGGCTTATCTGTAAATAAAGAATATGAATTCAGCTTGCGTTACTAGGCATTATTGGGGGTACGAGTGGCCCAGTCGTCTAAGGCACCGCAATTCGCTGTGTTGCGTCCCTTGGGCACGCCAGAAACCTATGATTGTGGGTTCGAATCCTGGTTCGCCCCAATGATGTTTCTAGGTTTGTCAGCACCATACCCGTGCTCGTGGGTTTCACCGAAGTGGTAAACGTCTGAGACCTGCATCACTTCGGGCTTTCCTCCCACATTAAGCTGACATGCCGCGATATAAATAGATACTGTTAAAAGCGGCGTTAAACGCAACTCACTCACTACCAGGCATTATGAAAAATACTCTTTTATTCAACAAAATTCTTTTTTAATGTGTTTTATGTACCATAATAAAATCCTCCTTATATCCTCTAGTGATGTGAAGGCAGATTGTTCACTGGCATCCATTGTTCTGATCTTTGTGTGTGAAATAACTGCAATGTTTAGTTACCAGTATGAAAGGGCAGTGAGACTTGATCCATGGTGGTTGTTGCAGCATTGCTGCCAATTCTGATGGAGTCACTGGAGAAGACGAGGTTCATGAGGAAAAATCGATTCATCAATGCCCCTCTGCAGGTGCTACTGTCTGGACTTGTGTGAGTGACTATTTCACTGAAATAATAACTGCTCCCTCTGCTGGTATAAGTACAGGTTTCTCAACTGTAATAATGACATGTCCCTCAGCTGATGTAAGTACTGATCTCTCAACTGTAATAATGACTTGTCCCTCAGATGATATAATGACATCTCTCAACTGTAATATTGAGTGCTCCCTCAGCTGGTATAAGGGCTGATCTTTCAACTGTAATAATGACTGCTCCCTCAGCTGGTAAAAGGACTGATCTTTCAACTGTTATAATGAGTGCTCCCTCAGCTGGTAAAAGGACTGATCTTTCAACTGTAATAATGAGTGCTCCCTCAGCTGTTATAAGGATTGATCTTTCAACTGTAATAATGACTTGTCCCTCAGCTGGTTTAAGGGCTGATCTTTCAACTGTAATATTGAGTGCTCCCTCAGCTGGTAGAAGGGCTGATCTTTCAACTGTAATAATGACTTGTCCCTCAGCTGGTATAAGGGCTGATCTTTCAACTGTAATAATGATTGCTCCCTCAGCTTGTATAAGGGCTGATCTTTCAACTGTAATAATGACTTGTCCCTCAGCTGATATAAGGACTGATCTTTCAACTGTAATAATGACTTGTCCCTCAGCTGGTATAAGGACTGATCTTTGAACTGTAATATTGAGTGCTCCCTCAGCTTGTATAAGGACTGATCTTTCAACTGTAATAATGACTTGTCCCTCCGCTGGTGTAAGTACTGATCTCTCAACTGTAATAATGACTGCTCCCTCTGCTGGTGTGAGGACTGATCTCTCAACTGAAATAATGACTGCTCTCCCAGCTAGTATAAGGACTGATCTCTCAACTGTAATAATGACTGCTCCCTCTCTGGGTATAAGGACTGATCTCTCAACTGTAGTAATGACTGCTCCCTCTCCGGGTATAAGGACTGATCTCTCAACTGTAATAATGACTGCTCCCTCTCCGGGTATAAGGACTGATCTCTCAACTGTAATAAGGACTGCTCCCTCTCCGGGTATAAGGACTGATCTCTCAACTGTAATGACTGCTCCCTCTCCAGGTATAAGGACTGATCTCTCAACTGTAATAATGACTTGACCCTCAGCTTGTCACTCTCCTACCCAGAGTTCCATGCGACCAGCATAGTACCTCTGCCATAGGCCAGTGCCATGTGACGATTCGTCACATCTTATGCAGTCCATTCAAGATATTGCATATGTTTTTTACACGTTTCATTTTTGACAAGTCTACATATCCAGATGAACATTTGTCATAGAATTTTCAACTTTCATAGAGAAAATATCCTAAATCGTGAAAAACTGTTTCCATTTGCATAGTTATCCTATGTTTACATTGGTTGTACAGATCCACGTGCTGTCATTGAAGCCCCACGGAGAGCTAGTGATACGGTCACTTTGATGTGTAACATGTATTGTCATGCAACATGCAAAGTTGTAGTAGCATATTTATATAATTATGCAAAACAGTATGTAAAGCCCTGCCAAATTCTTGCATTAGTCCATTCTATTCTGATTTCTGAAAAAGCGCATTTGTTTACAAACAAGAGAAAAGTCCGGACATGTGATATGCAAATTAGCCTGTGGCAGTGGTGTTATGCTGAGTCACCACTGCGCCGGAGTGTGTCAGCTGGTATAAGTACTGGTCTATCAACTGCAATTATGACTTCTCCCACAGCTGATGTAATGATTTCTCCCTCTGATAGTATAACTACTGTTGCAGGCTGCTGTTCATGACGCCAACTGCGTGTGCCTTGTTCCCGCAGAGATGGTGAGTCATTGATGTTGGAGTAAAGTTAGGACACTTCACAGAGAATGTTTTGACATGTTGCTAGTGTAGTACTGGAAAAGACCCGTGAAGATCAGGGGTAGAATAGGTCTTCAGCAACCCATGCTTGTTGTAAAAACCGACTATGCTTGTCATAAGAGGCAACTAAACAGCAAACCAAATCAACCAATCAACCAGAAAATGTCATATAGCTGGAATATTGCTGAGTGTGGCGTTAAACAACAAACAAACAAACAAACAAACCAACCAACCAGAAAATGTTACAGAACAGTTAGATATGTCCTGCTGACAGGTGAGTCTCTAGCTGAAGAAATAGACTTTGTTTTCAAGGACTGACCATTTTGTATTCTTGTAGGGCTGGAAGTTTTAGTCGAGCTTATGTCATGGCCTGCTTGTCCGTTGTCAGTGGCAACATTGGCTTAAGTGGTGGCTGTAAATAATTTCCCCTCCGATGCCACCGGACCAGTGAAGCTGACACTTCACATGTTTCTTCACACCAATGATGACACATGACCCAAGAGGTCTTATTCTGATTTACAGTATGGCGCCAGCTCCAAAGAACCAGTTTATGGCCACTCCTCAGCAATTTTGGCTCAAAGTGTAATGTAATGCTCTTAAAATCTCTCAAAATGCAGTTATGACTCATGAAATTGCAAGCCTGAGGATGATTAACTTTGGCATGTATGGTTCTCCATATGATTATACATCATATTAAATTCAAATCATTTGTTTTGTGAAACACGTTTGTTCTCAGTATTTATACAGAAAATATTTGCACAGAAATGCTGACAGCAGCTTTGTTCGTATGCTGTCTATGATATTTTGAATATTGACTACATATCTAGGTGAGCTACAGCGCTGTGGCACTTATCTTTTTTTCAAATCATAAAAACTGGAACGAATAATTTGTCCTCACTCAAGGCATCTGGCATACCACTGTGTTTGTCTCGGTATCCAGTGTAATAGCTGTTGAGTCATATCAGTGTACACAGCTGGTACACGTACATTAGACTGGGATTTCACTTAGATTACAGGACCATGCGTGTTCATAAGCGTAGAGCTAAAAACAATGACATTTCATGGCATCCAACCTACTGCACATCCGGAATACCACTAACAAGGCTCGCCATCCATCGTACTAAAATTAGCTTGGCATTCTCAAAACTGTCCCTGAAAATAGTGATAGTTGATCAAGGGCTAAAATTGGTTGGTTGGTTTGTTGTTTAACGCCACATTTTGCAATATTCCAGCTATATGACAGCTGACTGTAAATAATCGAAGTGATTGACATCATGAGCATCGATCCACGCAGTTGGGATCGATGACATGCATCAACCAAGTCAGCGAGTCTGAGCTCCCGATCCCGTTAGTCGCTTTTCAATTAAAGTTTAAACCTTTTATGAATTTGTGTTGACATATTTGATATCAAAGGACTCAGGAGACATTCTCAATGTAAGGGCAGCTTCCCTTGATTGAACCTAAGCAGGAATTATATGGGCTGGGACGATACACCAACTGTGAGCTCCGATACGTATCAGAATACCTTGTTCACGATCCAATGCGTATGACGATACCGTATTTTCTTGAGTAGAGTGCGCACCCATGTATAATGCGCACCCCCTCTAGCGGGTTCAATATTTTGGAAAAAAAGAAATTTGAATATTATGCACAGAAAAAAATTACACCGTACCCCTTCAGCGAAGTCCGACAAACGAACGGGTGATGAGAAACTTCGTCAATACAAATTCGAAATTTGAGATAAAAAATCACCAGACATGTTGATTTACCGTTTAAATTGTATTTTACGTTCAGCTAGGCATTGTTTTATATCCAGGGATTAAGATTACATTGTGTATTTTCTCGTAAACTAAGCCGGACACAGCAATCAGCTGTACACACGTTTTCTTGGAATCTACCGGTGATTCGGTCAAGACACACCCAATGATACAGTATTTTAATGCAAGGATCGGCAAAAGTTGTATCTGAAACTATTTTTTTATTAGGAATAATATATTCCAATATCTTGTTAATTTAGATGCAGCTGTGTTTTTTTTTAAAAAAAGTGCGCACTATACTCAAGAAAATGCAGTACTTGTTTTGTTTGTTTACATTTTAATGCCGCACTCAGCAATATTGCAGCTATATGGTGGCGGTCTGTAAATAATTGAGTCTGAAGCAGACAATCCAGTGACTGACATCATGAGCATCGATCCACGCAATTAGGATACAATGACATGTATGTGCTTTTATCTGTGGTGCTTTAGCCATCTTTTTCATAGACTGGATGGCCACTACATGACACACTGATGATTTACAGTAGGCAATGTCAAGTATGGCGCACTGGATAAAATATTTACATTTTCAGTAATAATTTTCACTACTAATTAGTTTGGTGTCGCAGTTATTAACAGACACATTTAAGGTATGGATCGATATGTTTTACTTAGTGTGCGACTGTGAATCGGGAAGTAAAATATCGCAATCCACTGTTGCATCAGACTCGTGAAGATCCGGGGTAGAATAAGTCTTCAGCAACCCATGCTTGCCATAAAAGGCGACTATGCTTGTCGTAGGAGGCGACTAATGCGTTCGGGTGGTCAGGTGACATGGTCGATGTATGTCATCGAACCCAATTGCGTGGATCGATACTCATGAGGTCAATCACTGGATTGTCTGGTCCAGACCTGATTATTTACAGACAGATTTTTTTTAATCTACTTCCATGGACATTAATTCAGTTTTTCAATTTCCCTCAGCCCTATCCAGACTGACAGACTTCGAGCAATGGAGCCTCAGAGAATTGAGAAAGCAATGGAGAAGTACGGAGATCGACTCCCCATGACTCTGTACTTCAACAAGGGACTGTAATCTGGAAAATGAAGTACGGAGATGACCTCATCCCTGATGGCGTAGCTGATCTGACTGAGATTTAGAGGATGTGAATATCAATAATTGTTCAACACTGTAGACAGATTTATGTTACGTGCATTGATTGTGCAACCAATATCCAAAGCTCTGAACAAAACAATGAAATCGTATGTCATGTTAAGTATGAGATACCCGTCTCCATAGTGTGTTTGTGTAGAGAAGGGTGTCTCATGGTAAACTGAGGCATAAATAGAGGAGATTATATGAGTGTTCATGTCATACTGTGTTCACGACATGATAGTGTATATTCTGGTATTTCCCGAGAGAGATTGTGATTGTTCATGTCATGCTATGTTCAAGACACAAGTGTGTTTATTCCCGTATTTCCCGAGCAAGAGCACGGGAAATACCAGAATTTAGGCACAGGTGTCGTAAACATAGTATGACATGAACACAAATATAATGTTCTATTTATTACCGAAGAAGATGTGTACATAGTACATACAGAGATGAATTTTAGTGTTTACCTATAAGGACAGCAAGTCGCAACAGCAGCGGAACCACAATTTGTCGAATGACGTCAATAATCTTCTGCTTTGACGTCGTTTCTTGTGTGACGTCATTCCGATCTCAAGTTACAAAAACATTTGAATGATGTCAACAATGCCGTCTGGATGACGGAAACAATACACTGTTGTCTTGTAACGTGATATGACCCTAGGGCACATATGATTTTTATGAACCCCGATATGTTTACCCTCGTATGTAATAAAATATCATTATTTTATTTAACTTCAAATTCCAGTGATCATACATGATTGATGTACCTCAGACAGGAACTGCCATTGCATTGTTCATTGCAGACATTTCCCAAAAGGGTACAATGTGCTTGTTACAATATAACATTGTACTCTTCAGACTGTTATAACTGTTCGCAAGGGACTGTTTTGTAGGCAGAATGATTGTATCAATACAAAAATATGAACTATGTATAAAAAAGGTGCTTGTTAGAATACAATTTTGAGTGAAAAAAATACAGTGATTGTTTCAAAACAATACTGAATACGGAGTGATTGTATCATAACAACCGTGTATGCATTTATTGTATCGATACAACATTGTATGCAGAGAACTGTATCAGTACATTGTATGCATAGTGATTGTATCAATAAAACATTGAATACAGAGTAATTGTATCAGTACAACATTGTATGCAGTGATTGTATCAATAAAACATTGAATAAAGAGTAATTGTATCAGTACAACATTGTATGCAATGATTGTATCAATAAAACATTGTATGCAGAGAACTATCAGTACATTGTATGCAGAGTGATTGTATCAATACAACATTGTATGCAGAGTGGTTGTATCAGTAGAATAATGCATGCAGAGTGATTGTACCAATAAAACAATGTTTTTAGAGTGATTGTATCAATAGAACAATGTTTGTAGAGTGATTGTATCAATAGAACACTTCATACAGAGTGATTGTATCAAGACAATATTGAATACTCAGAGTGATTGTATCGATATTAAAGTGTATGTAGAGTAGTATTAATATGTATCAACATACACAGGTGTACAAGAACATACACAGTGTGCCCAGTTCGTCCAAAGCTTGTACTCCTCATAAGGGTTCCAGTTGACTGTTTATAATCATCCTTCAGGGAAATAAATTAGTTTGGAAGTGACAAACATGATTTGAATAATTTACCGTTGAAATTGAAGACCTGTGATCAGAACCACTCTAGTGCTGGCCGATATGTGTTTAATTAACGTGAATATGTTACTGCATAATAATACATACATGTATGTAGCATGTGTCTAAACAGGCTGTTTTTGACACAAATGGATTGGCTAGGCTAAAAGAAATAATGGTCTTGGCTCTCAGGCACCTCATAAAGTCTGCTGCATGCTTTGTTTTTATTCCATTTTCAAATTAAAAAAACCCAAAAGTAATACTTAAAAACAATGCGATCCAGTATAGCACGCTGTTACTTCCCTTTACATGTGCACTGCATTATGTGCATCTCGTGTTATGGGCATAGCGGCAATAGGAGTTTGCAAGCTTGTTTATGTAGGGAGCCCTTTCCCAGGTTGATGGTACACAAGGGGCGGTCGGGTAGTCTCGTGGTTAAAGTGTTCGCTCGTCACGCCGAAGACCCGGGTTCGATTCCCGACATGGGTACAATGTGTGAAGCCCATTTCTGGTGTCCCCTGCCATGATATTGCTGGAATATTGCTAAAAGCGGTGTAAAACCATACTCATTCACTGATGGTACACAACTGTTTATTTGGTTACATACAAGTTTGAACAAGCAAAAAAAAAAACACCTCCTGTCTGCACTGTATGTTCAAAAGTTATTGCCTGAAAACCAAGGCTTTATTCTTTTAAGCCTTATTCATCATAACTGTAGGATTTACAATATTTGTCATAATTGCCTGTCATGCCTTTTCTGATCTAAATCAGCAATTAGGCTTAGAAACAAGAGGATGTGGCAGCTAAAGTGGATCTCATTTAGTGGAATTTATAATATTTATGTGCAATATTGAATGTGTTGTTGACTTTGTATTGATGTAGAGAGTGTTGCTTGTTTGTGAAGGGCTGGGTTATCATAATATTTTGTTAATGAAGCACCGAAGTGATCTCTGTGTCTTTTTGTAATTTTGAAACAGTATCGTGTATACAATGTTTGTGAGTTTGTTGTTATAGTAACAAGAATGCTTGTAGGCTGTTAGCGGGCTAGTGAAGACTAGGCTGTGTATCTAGTTTGTACTGAAGTTTATACGTCATTATTTGACCTCGGTTTTTTCCCTGGGATGAAGGTTTTAGATCTCATAAAAACCCGGGAGTAAGTGTTTTATTTGTAAAGGGCAGTGTTACAGTCTGGCTGTTATTGAATTAACAGGGTTACTGATCATGTCCATTCTCAGGTGATACTGCGGTCTACACATGTGGTCTACACATATCAGCACAATATCATCTTCCCGAGGCTGACTTTAAAAGTTCAGTTTCCACTTTGCAAAACTACGCTGGAATTCCATGGCTTGATCATACTGCCACAAGTGGCTATTAAGAGTTATGTCCCTTATATGTTCCTCCTATTGACCAATCAGATTCCACCTCTCATATTGCTTCAAACAAGATGGCTGTGCCCAGGGAAGATAGCCAGATTGATAATACAGATCTGTATTGTTATAAAACAGCTCTTACCTCGTGAATTTCATCAAATCACGTGAGCACCTTGATTGAAAACATGAAAAGATTTGGAAAATATCTGTAGATGCCCAGTTAACGGTACTAATGCTTTGCAATTCCTGCAATCAACCTAAATCTTCACGGCAGTTTACAAACCCGATGTCGGTTTCAATACACGATTTTGATTGAACTATGCATAGACTTGTTTGTTCAGCCAAAACATAACTCTGATATTCCAGCATAGTTTGGCAAGGGTGGATATTGGACTTTTATACTCAGTAAACTCCCTTGCCAAAGGAAGATGGCACAATATAAATTTTTTAGATGTTTTTTTTATCTAATGTTTTAACTGCATTGAACAAATTAATATTCATAATGCCAGCTACATTTTTACTTAATACAGTGAAACATTGTTATCTTAAACATCAAAAACGCAATTTAAAGCACTACAAATATATTGCAAGTGATTCTGTGCGACTGATTAGCTAACCAAGCAATTGTGATGCATTGGTTTCCATAAACCCCAAAATAATAGGTCACGCCCACTAACCCGACTTGTGTGACCTAATGCATTGACTGATAATAGAATGGGCGGGGGTTGTCTTCGCTGAATGATTTCACTTATTTTGTATCGTCTACAGTTTTTGGTGTTTAATGATTAAATAAGCGGGCTGTGAAGTTTTTATTGTTGACATATTTATAAGGATTGACTTCAATATGTGTTTGCTTTTATGGAGATATGATCCTAAAAAATCGGTGTGCACATTTTGCTACGTGATTTACACTGTGTGCACACCAGAATTATGTTTACATCACTGTAAATGCCCAAAGAATTATTGAAGTCAGTTCTTACTTAGACATTGTAACAAACCGAATTGTTTGCCACAAAGATCTAATATCATACTCCTATGCTATGAGCAATATGGCAGTGCAAGAAAAATCAATTAGGCTAAAAAAAAATAGGTCTATCAAAATAATTATTGGATTTCACTCAGGTATACACAATAATATACTACTCAAAAGAAGTCAAAGAACACTTAATCTGTCATGACATGAAAATAATCATGTGTTCTTCAACTTGTTTTGAGTAGTACTGTATATAAGAGGGCAGTTTGTCCAGTATTCTGTATTGTCAGTGTAAACTGGTTTGATTAGTATATAAGAGGGCAGTTTGTCCAGTATTCTGTATTGTCAGTGTAAACTGGTTTGATTAGTATATAAGAGGGCAGTTTGTCCAGTATTCTGTATTGTCAGTGTAAACTGGTTTGGGTGATTTAGCCATCAGGTGCAGATTCTGTGATGTGCCAGCCGACCTCCAGCTGGCCTGTATATTCAGTATTAGAGACTTATGATATGTGGAAACTTGTCACTTCTACATTTATTTGCACTCTACAGAAATTAAAATCACAAAGGCAATGGAGAACTGAAGTTGTTTTCTTTCTATATGGAAACCTAATCCTACAACTGATCAATAAGCTCACGGATGAGTGAGTGAGTGAGTTGGGTTTAACGCCGCATTTAACATTATTCCAGTTATATCACGGCGTGTCAGCTTAATGTGGGAGGAAAGCCCGAAGTGATGAAGGACTCAGACGTTTACCACTTTGGTGAAATCCACGAGCACGGGTATGGTGCTGACAAACCTAGAAACATAATCAGGGCGAACCAGGATTCGAACCCACAATCATAGGTTTCTGGCGTGCCCAAGGGACGCAACTCTGCACAGCAAATCGCGGCACCTCAGACGACTGGGCCACCCGTGCCCCTCTCACTGGGCTGACCCTCTGTCCACCAAGGCAAGGAGGTTGTCCACATGGCATTATCCTGCCTTGGAGTGAGTAAGTCAGTATGCTTTTAGCAATATGCAAGCAATATCAAGCCAAGGGACACAAGAAATGGATTTCACACATTGTACCCGTGTGGGGAATCAAACCGGGGAATTCAGTGTGACTAGCGAACACTTCAAGTACTATGTTACCCCATCACCCTCCTGCCCCGAAATATTTTTGTTTTGTTTGTTGTTTAACGCCGCACTCAGCAATATTCCAGGTATATGATGGCGGTCTTTAAATAATCGAGTCTCGACCAGACAATCCAGTGATTGACATCATGAGCATTGATCCACGAAATTGGGATAAGATGACATACATCAACCAAATCAGCGAGCCTGACCACCCGATCCCGTTAGCCGCCTCTTATGAAAAGCACAGTCGCCTTTTACGGGAAGGATGGGGGTGAAGATCTATTCTACCCCGTATCCTCACGGGTCTGCCCCGGAAGAGCTGCTACAGAAAGAAAAGAGACAAGGTGATATGTTGATTGTTTTATTTACACCACATATGACAGACACACATCTACTGTACAGGCCTATAGTGGTTGGTGCTGTGGCTCTCGTGCTTAACTAGACACCCCAGTGTTTACATAACCACATGGGGCTGGCGGACACAGCGCTAACATCAGTCTACAAAAAACAAATTCATTTGTTTCTCATTTGAGCACATATTTTCCAACGTTTCTTTCTTCCAGACTTATTACAGAAGAGAGTACAAGGAGCCACTTTTCAGTGGCGTGTAATAACGACAAGTGACCCTTATATACCACAAAAGAAATGACAAAAAATTCTTTTGATCTAATCTCATTATATCTAATATTTGGCATGATTCTAAGCATGTTAGCTCGATAATAGATGATAGCTATATGTAAGGGTCAATATCAAAAACTCATTCTCGGAGATGACCTGGTCATGATTTAGAATACTTTTGAAGCATTTAAATTGCATAAATTGCTAATTCAGCAAAAAGCAAATCAACAGCAATCCCGAAATACACACAATCTATCACTACAGAGTCTTCGGGGCATATCTGGAATAATAATCAAACTGAAACTGACGTGAGGGTCACGACCTGTCCGACCAACCCATGTGTGTTTGCAGAGTCACAGGACAACATATATCGGGTATTGCATTATGCTATCACATTTCTGAAGACAATAAGATAATGTATGTACACATTTCGTTTTTGTCAGTGTGAGTGAGTTGGGTTTAACGCCGCTTTTAACTGTATTCCAGTTATATCACAGCGTTCATTTTTGTCAAGTGTATATATATGGCACTCAGCTTGAATACAACAACAAGGAGATTATACTGTCAGATAGTATTCATATATTTATAAACATTCTAAAACAGTTCTCATGTCAGCTGTCGTTAGCAGTGATTTCACAGAAATAACCACAATAGAATGCAAATACTGAATAGATACAACAGGTTCAAACAGGCATAGGTAGGTCATTGAAGAAGTGTCCAGGATGTGCATGATTTGTGGGTAATGTATTATACAAGTGCTTGTTCTCATTGGACTTTTCACATAGAACCACATTCCAGGTCGATGCATAACCTAGTGGGATATAAAACCACTTATCCCAGGTTGACATTTTGCCTGGTGGGATATATAACCACATTCCAGGTCGATACATAACCTAGTGGTATATATAACCACTGATTTCAGGTTGATATATAGCACAGTGGGATATATAACCACTTATCCCAGGTTGATATTTTGCCTGGTGGAATATATAACCACATATTCCAGGTTGATATTTTGCCTGGTGGGATATATAACCACATATTCCAGGTTGATATTTTGCCTGGTGGGATATATAACCACTTATCCCAGATTGATATTTTGCCTGGTTGGATATATAACCACTTATCCCAGAATGATATTTTGCCTGGTGGGATATATAACCACACATTCCAGGTTGATATTTTACCTGGTGGGATATATAACCACTTACTCCACTTATGGATGTGGGTGTAACAATGTAACACAATGTTGACAATACTGTGTTGCTGCAG